TTTTTTTGAGTCCAAAAAGCTAATTTACAAACACTTAAATTAGCTTTTTGACTGGTCAAACAACGCTGTTCAATAAGTTAAAAGCGCTGTTTTCCAAACACACTCGTAATATTTCTTATATAAAATAAAATTCATACAATATCTAAAAAATAAATTCAGATAAAGTGTGTAATAAAATTAATTAAAAATAAATTCAGATAAAGTGTGTAATAAAATTAATTAAAAAAATCGCAATTTTCTTGTTTGATAAGGTGCTGTAATAGAAAATCAAATAAATTTAGCTAACATTCACTAAGATCAATCGAAATACATATGACAAATTATATAGTCTCCGTTCATGCAGCATTATGGATTGATTTTTTAATGTGAGGTACGATAATTCTGTCAAAAATATAAAATATATTATTTTAAATTTTTTTTTTTTTTACTTTTTAATGAATATTTTATTTTATTTTATTTTGACTTTGTAAAACGTTTTTGTATTATTTATTATTATTTTTAAAAATCGCAATTGAAAAATAATATTAGGAGAACAGAGCGATAATATCTTTTTGTTTTAATAAAAATGCATAAAAATTTCATATTTTATTTATTGCATAAAATTCATTTGTTAAATTAAAGTTGACACAACATACGATATTCCTCTAAAAGGATGTTCAATTGTAACTATGAGTCTAATTATGCTAGTTTTATACAAATAGAATATGTGAAATATATTAAATAGTCTTTTTAATAAAATAAATAAATAAATAATTGATGAATTCTTCATTTTATTTTATTTTTTGACAAACTAATTTTACAAAAAAAAAATTATAGAACGAATGTTTGATCAATTATTTGTTCAATTATCTTATTTAAAAAAGATTAGTTAAGATATTTTATTTGTATAAAACTAATAAAATTAGATCTGTATTTATAATCAAACATCAACTTTGGACTAAGAAGATATTTTATGCATAATTTAATTCAACACAATAGAATTTCATACAATAAATAAAACATTAACTATTTTGTATATTTTTACTAAAACCAATGACATAAATGTTTGTTTGGTTGTGGTTTGAAATTGATTTGAAATAGAGAGTTGGATTTGAGTTTTTTTTTTACTAAAACCAGCGACACCTGGATTTTTTTATTTATTTTTTATTTTTTAAAAAAAAATTTTATTTTTAATTTTATTTGTTTTTTTTTATTTTTTTATTTAGTGCAATTAAAAATAAATTAAAATAATTATAAAAAAATGAAAAAAAATAAAATTCACATGTCCACTGGGTGTTGCTGACTTGGCGGGACACTTGGCGGACACGTGACTTCCGGCGATCCACGCGGTCATCTCCGACGCCGGAGGACTAAAACAACAAAAAATTTTAACTTATGGGACTAGTTTGCGACAAGCTCCACTTACGTGACTAAAATGATAAGGGGGTCCAGTTATAAGACTAAAAAAACAGTTTATCCCATATAAAAAAGTGGTTAGCGGTAAAAATAATTAATATTTTCATTGGCTAATCCTATAATAATATCACAACAGAGTGCTATAGGATGTGTTTGCTTGTTTTTTTTTTTTTTCAAATAAAAAACTTTCACTCGGATTTTTAGATGAATTGATTTTTTTATGTGTGATATAGAGAATTGTATTTGGTAAAATATAAAAAATAATATTTTATGTTTAATAGTTGACTTTTTATGAGTGAATAATATATATATATTATATTAATGTGTGTATATTTATTATTTTTTAATATTCCCTTATTAGTATTGTGATATATAAATATAATAATATTTGTGTAACATATTGTAAGTTGTAAGGATATTTTTAAATGTTAGTAGAAACTATAATTACTAAAAAAGAAATAGATACTTTGTTATTAAACAGACCAAAATAGAAAAATTGATAGATTGTTAATCGACGGAGAGAGTAATATTTAAGGAGAATTGTTCTATTGAGAAATATTGAGTGAACATTGATTATATTTACTCCGTCTAAGAATAAGTTTTGTATTATTTTTATTTTAGTATGTCGAAATTACACTTTTTCATTTTTTATACAAAAAATAATTATTACGTAAATACCAAAATATTAATAATTTTTATAAAAAAATAATTATCAATTAAATATCAAAATTTACTTTTTTACATTACTTTTTTGAAATAAACATACTCATTTTTTATAGAAAAAATAACTCCCAATTTAAATACCAAATATCCATTTTTTTTTTTATTTTTTTCACACTTTTTCACACTATTGTATTATACTACGTATTTATAAAATATTAATATACTTTAATCAAATTAATGTATAAAAGTCAAATAAAAAAATTTACCAAGAGACAAAAAGAATATTATTTATTTTATTTATTTTTAATAAAAAAGTATTGTTTTTTTTTTTTTACATATAAAATATTTACTTGAAAATGCTATTTAAATAAAAAATTCAAATTAGTATTTAAATAGTTTTGCAGAAATATATAATTATAGTATATTGAATACTTCTTGATATATTTAGTTATTAATATTTATAGTTAATTAATTATATATAATTATAATAAAATTGATATAAATTGCTTTAACATTTTTAGTGATTTTTTTTAATATATATTTATATTGTAGCTACACTAAATTAAATATATATTGATATATTTAATTGTTTATTAATATTTATAATAAATGAATTCTATATAATTGTAGTAAAATTGATATAAGGTGTGCTTGGCACTTAATTGCATGTACAAAATTGAATTGTAGATTTAGAAAAAAAATTGATTTGAAAAATAAGAATTAATTATTTTATTCGGTAAATATACTATAATACAATTAAAAAAATTATACTCCCTTCGTCCCAGGTACCGTGTCTACACTGTAGACACAGTATTTTAGAAGGGTTATAATTAGTAGATAATTAAGAATGTATTAGTGAAAATAATTATCCTATAGTATAAATAATTATAAATTAAAATTAAGATAACTAATTAATTTAATTAAAATTAAAAAAATTAAATTTAAAAATTTAAAATGAGATTAAAGTGTGTAATCATTTTCCAAAAAATGAAAGTGATATGATATGTGGGACGAACAGACATGGACATGGTATCTGGGACGAGGGAGTAATAGAGAACTAATTACTACAGAATAATTTATTCTACGTATTTTTTCTATTAGTCAAATTTACAAAATAAATATATTTAATAAATATAAATAATTTAATTAATTACATATCATATAATATTATATATCATGACCAATTTAAAACTATTTTATTTCTAGTTCTATTAAAAAATAAATGGTAAATTGATTTTTTTAGTTTGTCCTTTTATCATTTTAATTCCGTAATTAAAAAATGTATTAAAATAGTTACGTAAGTGAAATTTTGTTGCAATTTAGTTCTCAATGTCTATGTGGTATTTGCGTGGCATGCCGACGTATACGTGTCCTCCAAGTCAGCTCCATGTGACTGATACGTGAATTATTTTTAGTTTTATTTTTTAAATATAAAAAATTTACAAATATAAAAATAAAAATAAAAATAAAAAATACTAAAATAAAATTAAAATTTTAAAATTAAACATTAAAAATAAATAAAGTAAAACATAACAATTACTTATATGTTCGTCAGTCTGCTCCACGTGACCTTTTAATAATTTATATATTCATATATTTTTAATTATATTTATTATATTATATTTTTATTTTTAATATAAAAAATACTACTCCCTCCGTCCCATGTATTATGGGCCTATTACTGTAGATACGAGAATTTAGATAAAGTGTAATTAGTAAGTAATTAAGAAGTGTATTAGTAAAAATAATTATCGTATAATAAAAATAATTGTGAATTAAGATCAAAATAACTAAATAGTTTAATTAAAATTAAAAAAATTATAAAATTTAAAATTTAAAATGAGATTAAAATGTATAATTATATTTCCAAAAAAATGAATGGACAAATTACGTGGGACGGACGAAAATAGAAAATATGGACAAATTACGTGGGATGGAAGGAGTATAAATTATTGCTTAGGGGCCACGCGGCGATGTCATGCGGATAATTTTAATTTTTTATATTTTTAATTTTATTTTTAATACATTTTATATATTTAGTTTTATTATTTATTTATTTATAAAAATTATCCACATGACCGACACGTGTCAATCCGGTGGCGATCTGGTTGATATGCCTCCACCAGTCTGCCACGCAGATGCCACATAGGCATTAAGGACTAAATTGAAATTTTTTCACTTACATTACTATTTTAAGACAATCTTCCGTTATAGGACTGAAATGATAAAGTAGTGTACTTAAGGGGCAATTTACCCAAAAATAAAATATTTTTATATACATTTAAAACTTTATATCTTTTATAAAATTAGTTTATATCAATTATAAATAAATAAACTATTTATTTGTATTATAAAAAATTTCACTATTTACAATATCATATTACATATATTTTTTTATTACTATATAAATTTTAAATTATTTAAGTACTAATTATATTATTTCTTTAAATTATACATATTAAATTATTTTAAAATTATCCATATTATATATTATATAAAATAATAATAAAATAACATAATACTACTTCCGACCGACTTTAAGAGTAACATTTATTTTTTGTGCATTGATATTTGAATATGAGTTATTATATCAAAATCGTAGTACAAATTAAAAAAAATATAAAAAATAGTTCTATTGTAAAAATTAAATCAACCATTTATCTTTATTTTTTATATTATATTAAAAATTAATTTTATATTCAAAATATGATATCAATACTTATTTATATCGTACCGTACTATTATTTTAATTCAATTTTTTTACTATTCAAATTTCAATTCAAAATCCAATCCACCGAACAAACACACCCAAATGTTTAACCAATCAAATGCTATTAATTTTTATTTTATTAAAAAACAAAAGGCTTGTAAAGGGCGAATGAAGTATTACCTTAACTGCGGTTGCATGATATGCTTAATAGCCATTTTACTATTATTCCGTTATTTGTTTATTTATTTATAAATTACTATCGTCTGTCGTTTGATCGGCGGTGGCGACGCTTGTAGCGCAGCCGTACAAATTCCGGATGGCCGCTGTTCCAACCGTGCTGCACTGTAATGCCTATTTTATTCGGCACAGAACTCATTCGATTCCAGTTGTTGTGCCGGCGGCAAAGCTAGGATTTGGCGGCTCAGTGTGCAGGCAAAACCTGACGCGCGGTGTCCATTTTTTACCGAATTCTAATTCAGTTTGGGCTGGAAGATATCTATTTGTTGTAAATGCGTTTCAACAAAGCCAGGAGGACTGCTGCGAGGCAGGGAATGAACTTCGCTCTAGCAGACTCAGACGTTTGGTGCGGTTTATTCGCGATATGTTTCCCGGTGGAAATTGGTGGAGTTTGAGTCCTTTCGAACAAAAATTAGGTGGTTATCCAACGAGATCTGAATCGACGACTGTTTTTCAAGTTCTGAGCCAGATGTGGGCACTGTTAGCTGATGAGAAGTGGATTCTGTACGCGGCCTTTGGAGCTTTAGCTGTTACCGCGGTGCGTGAGCTCATTATATAGGTTTTACTTTGATTTATTCTTACCGTTTTATAAGCTAATTAACCAATTTCATCTCCACTTATTATGCTATCAGTTTATTTTATGCTTCAATTGCCAAGTTTACTCATTAGATTTATGTTTCAAACGTGATAGCAGTTTGCATCCTTTTAATTAATACATGGCGGTCTACTGAATTTCAGTTAGTTTGTTGATTAGTGAGTGGCCTTTTCAAGTTGATTTTCTCTGTGACTAGCCAGCACTTAATCTGTTTCGCAAAACAATCAGAACAAGATTATATGTCCATGTTTTTGCTTCCTTGTTAATTGCTTTCACTCTTAAATAAATGCTCGCAATCTATTGAGGTCTTCATATAGTTTGTGGTGTGCTATTGCAGCTCTCTGAGATATCAATGCCAGGCATACTGACTGCAGCAGTCTTTTCAGCTCAAAATGGGGAGACGCTGGTGTTTTATCAACACACACGCTTCTTGATTTTGTTGTGTTTTACCTCCGGAATATTCAGGTTACTCTGTCAAACTTAATATTTATGCATGTATGTACCGTATGCAATGTTCTATTCTAATAATTCCTTATGCAATTGGGTTTTTCATGCGCTAAAGTGGATTGCGAACAGGGTGTTTTGCTATAGCAAATACAATATTGGTGCGTCCATCAAGTTCTAGTTTCTTTTATTACGTTATCTTCTTTCTTTTCATATTTTCTTAACTTTGAAGCATTGTGGAAAACCCTGTCTTTGAGCAAAATTGATTCAGAGATTGGAATTATAAGATTATATTCTTCTCACTCATCTCTGAGACGATTAGAACCTGGTCGAAAGGTTTTTTCTCTTGACGTCCTTGGTTAATGACAAATATTTTAAGGTGATTTTTCAAGGACCCTGTTGTTAGAGGCAGAATGCTGTGTTGAAGGGTGTGTAGTAAATTTGAGTTATGATGATTTTAACCTAGTAGCTTACCAATTTTTGCAATTTTATTGTTGGCAGTATATTTGATTTATTTTTACCTTTCATTATCTATATTGAAGAGTTGATTCTCACAAGCAATCTGGTTTTGCTCTTATTTTAACAGGCATAAGTTAGGGTCTGTTTACTTGTGATGTAACTGCACATTTGTTGCTGTCGGATCTTATAATTTTTTTTTTTTTTTATACATCACTTTCAATAATTATTTCACTTTATATATATATATATATATATAAACTCTGTGTTTTCAACTTTAATTTTCAATAGAAGTAATACATAGCTTTGGTCTCTGCCAAAACAAGACATAGGTATCAATGATTACTGTAATTTCTTGCAGGTTAAACGACTCCGGAAAACTCTGTATAGCTCTCTTCTTCTTCAGGTTTGAATTATGTGTAGTTTGCAAACTGAAGTCAGTTTATGTTCATCTATCCATCTATATCTGTTTCAATGCAACTTGTGGGTGTTACGGTTAATGTAGGACATATCATTCTTTAACACAGAAGCAGTTGGTGATTTGACGAGCAGACTGAGTACAGATTGCCAACGATTATCTCGTACTGTTGGATATGATATGTATTTGATTCTGCGAAACATTATTCAGGTTATTGCACTTCGAAAATATTCCCTGTTTGGTTTCTATTTTCCAACCTCTTATTGATACCTTCCCCTCCAGGGAACAGGTGCTTTTATCAACTTGATGACTTTATCATGGCCTCTTGCAATGTCATCCCTGATTATATGCTTTATTCTGTCAGCAGTTTTCGTCATCTATGGGAGGTAAGTTTTGATGGATTTCTTTGTTACTGAGTTGCAATGATATTTTGCAGTTGAGTGCATGCAGTTAAGACACTAGAACATAGTCAAACAGTAGTCTTCGAAGAATGCAGTTGATGTATCTTTGAGTTCTAACTTTGGTCAGCTGTCTGAAATTTTTTGTTTGTGTGATGGCTTTGATGTGATCGCTCCACCATGGGTCAATTATAGTTGTAATGTTCCTTGCTATTACATATTTGCACTGATTTTGAATTTTGATTAGTTGTAAAGTGCCTTCATTGAGGTCTGGAAAAATGCAATGTTCTTGAACTAGGACTCGTGTGGGTTTATTTTGTGGAGCTTAAGAGAAGGAACCTTTTGATTGGCCTTTATCACATGATTTTTTTTTTTGTTTTTTTCTCCTTGAAAATATGCCAACTTGGAGCTCATTTATATGGAATTAATCTGTTACCATTTTTATGCATAGTAGATATGAATTTTATTGGTTTATGTCTATAATGTAAATCTATATGCATGGAAACATATAAGATCAATGGTTTCATGTATGCGTTTCATGCTTGCTGAGCCATGCCCATGCCATTTCATTTGATCTAACTCATATTGTTGTATCTGGCAGGTACCAGAAGAAAGTGGCACTGCTTGCCCAAGATTTTGTTGCTTCTGCCAATGAAGTAATCAAAATTTGACCAAATTTGTATTGTCTTCTTCCCTTACTTTCTTTTTGCGTGATCAAATTTTTATTTTAACAAACACTTAGGTTGCACAAGAAACATTTTCCTTGATGAGAACGATCCGGGCATATGGAACAGAGAGGAAAGAATTTCAGAGGTTGTAAAATGTTAAGCTAGAAATGTTTGTATGTGAATATACCATCTTTGTTCATGGAAGATTTATTTTTGTTCTGTGAATTGTTTTTAGGTTCTCACAGTGGCTTGATGGATTAGCTTCTGTTAGCCTGCGAGAGAGTTTAGCATATGGATTTTGGAACCTCAGCTTCCTTACATTATATCGATTGACACAGGTGTTCCTGGGTGTAAAGGAATTCAAATGCTGATGTTCTGTAGATAGAAACTTTACTTGTGATAGCTTTTTCTACCCATAAATGCTAAATGATAGTTTAATTAGAATGCAAACCTTGTAGGTTTTTGCCGTTCTTTTAGGAGGAATGTCAGTTTTGGCTGGTAGCGCGTCTGCTGAGCAGCTGACCAAGTATGTCTTATATTGTGAATGGTTGATCTATGCTACTTGGAGATTGCAGGACAGTATGTCATCTTTATATCAGTCTATTGGAGCTTGTGAAAAAGTTTTTCAGTTAATGCATCTTCCACCCAGTTTCCAGTTCACGTCAGAAGGCAAGATTTTGGTCCTTATCCTTTTATGCAAAATTCCTATTTTGCTGTTCAATTTTACCTTTTCATTTTCCTGACTTTTTATACTCATATATACTTGGTTTAGCAAATGAAAGAGCACAAATGGCTTTCTATTGTATCCTATTGTCTGTGAATCGAATATGCATTGAAGGAATTCAAATGCTACTGATCTTTTGTTATGGTTACACAATAATTGGAAACTAAACTCTACAGGAGTAACAATGAAAAGCCTCAGTGGTAGTGTTGACTTTGTGAATGTTTCTTTTCACTACCCTTCAAGGATCAAGGTATTCTTCAATAACCTCAGATGTATCTAATTGTACGACTTTGAACTTCTGCAATGTCATTAGCTTGGTGTAGTTTGTTATACATATACATTGAATATTTTTTGGTAGCTTTTGCTATTAGTTTTAAACCAGAAGTGCTTCCTTATTGTTGTCTGACTCATGAACAGGTGCCAATTCTGGAAAACATGAATTTCTCCTTACAAGCTAATGAAGTTGTTGCAATTGTAAGGGATACAACACATACTTCTCACCACATGAATTTTTGTGATAATTCAACCACCAACATATGCTCACTGTTGTAAAGGTGGGTGCAAATGGTAGCGGGAAAAGTACATTGATCAATCTTCTGCTTCGCCTCTATGAACCAAGTTGTGGTGAGGTGAGCAGTAAGATTTTTTTGTGGTTTCACGTTATTGCTTATGTATGAATGCTGCAAAAGCCTTATGATAATTAAAACTCTTACTTGTGACTTCTTATTTTTCATAAACTTAAAACTTTTTAAAATTCATTTTGTAAACATCTTAACCTGCTGAATTATTGAAAGGGAAAGAACTATTTATAAAAAGACATAGTATAAATGAGTGTGTGGTTCAGCCAATAATTTAGAAAAAGCAATGAACCGATGATAAGGTCAATTTCAGACTAAAAGCTTGGACAGAGTGCAATTATATTCCCTCAACTCCTTGTCTTGCTTCATTACTTTTCAATGAATAGAATGACCTTGCATTTGCTAATAATAATTGGCCATACTGTTTTTATCTGACAGCAAAGTTGTTTTGTTTATTCTTACTGATGTTCAATTCTTATGTCCAGATTTTAATAGACAGCATTCCTCTGAAAGTGTTTGATATCCAGTGGCTGAGGAAACAAATCGGATTTGTCGAACAGGTTTGTCTTGAGAAGGCTCTGTTTTTGGTGCAAGACTCGTGCGGTTTAACCTCTGAGAGAGATCTATATGACTAATGAGCAGGAACCAAATCTTTTCCATTTGGATGTCAAATCAAACATAAGTTATGGTTGCTTTCAAAGCATTACACAAGAGGATATCGAACATGCTGCAAAGAATGCCCATGCACACGAATTCATCTCTGCCCTTCCTAGAGGTTATGACACCGTCATTGATGATAACCTACTTAGTGGAGGCCAGAAGCAGCGTATTGCCATAGCTAGGGCCGTCCTTAGAGACCCTGCTATTCTGATACTAGACGAAGCAACTAGTGCCCTTGATGCTGAAAGTGAGGGCTATATCCAGGTAAGCTTATTTTCATTTTTTCTCATCATTCTCATAAGAAAACAAACAATGTTTCTTGTAATAGAAAAAACCCTGGAAACCTGCAGGAGATACTTCTTTCTTTGAAGAAAGACCGCAAAAGGCAGAGGACCATCATCATTATCGCCCACAGGCTGACTACGATAAAAGCAGCAGACAGGATCCTGGTAATGAACGAAGGCCGAGTTGTTGAGGTAACACATTATGTTACTCAAAGCTTCCTTGATCATTCATTTTTATTTTTATTTTTGAAGATGTAAGGTCTGTGGTTGAACCATTTCTTTTCTCCCTTATATTGGGAGATTTTTTCAAATGTTTTCATTTTTCTAGAGCTGAATATTTGGAAGAGATTGATTGAAACTTGGAATATCTCTATTCACCGATGTGTGATAAAAAAAAAAAAAAATGCATTTGCTAGAATGGTGTTTATGTTTGACTAAATCTTGTTGATCATCCTTTCATAGTTTCATAGTTTGCACCCCGGGAAGCTCAACTAGCAAAATGTATATAAATCAACTACTACACACAACCATGAGCTGCAAACTGTCAAGAAACTGAACTCCTTCATACAGGTAGGTAATCATGAAGAACTCCAACTATTCACAATGCAACAAGATGTCTCTGGCCGGGAAGAAGGCCGTGTGGGATGATATCTCAACCTTGTCATGCTGTTTCCAGTGCCCCTGCTCGATTGCCGGTTACCTAATCATGCTGTAAGTATTGATTCCTAATTACATACTTATCTGTCACAAGCTGCCTGCCCGCCTGCCCTGGCTTATAACTTGTCATAGTAACACAAATCTGCAATTTTAATTTTTTGTTGACATTGTGGAGGGTGAGAGTGCCAAGAAAGTGAAAATACTTGGAATTAGTAGGGGACTTGAAGAAATTGGTGCAATTGCAATGGTCTTTGCAAAATTGGAAGACCAAAATCTTTGTACAGGACTTTCTCTCAGCTTTTGGACACATTAATTAAATGTGTGTTTGATAGGGTTAGTTTAGTACTGTGATTATGCTTTTCTCCAGCTTTACTAGGCTCTTTTTTAGGTGCATCCTTTTTCTCCTAACAATTGTAAACTGTAATATAAATATAAATCAAACATGAAGCGCATATTCCAATTTGATATATCAATTTTAATAATTCTAAATTATTATTATTATTAGTTAATCTTGAAAAATGAATTTTAATCAAACAAATATAGAATAATGTTGTGTATTTTTTTATTAGTTTTTTTTTTTTTTTTTTTTTTTTTTATATATTGGGTTTAGTTAGACGACTTTTAAGATATTTATTATTCATAAAAAAATTTCAAAAATATTAAATCAAATTTTTTATTTTTATTACTTCATGTTTTATTAAAATTTAATTATAGATACAAAAGATCACATTAATCCAAATTTATATCAAATCATCATATTTAAAATTTTTTAACTCAAACCCAAAATTCAAATTACCAATCAAAACACACCCAAAACAAATCCTCTCTGTTCCAAACAAGTTGCAATATTTGTTTTTTTCATTGATTTTTAGGTGGATAGTATTAAATAGGATAATTTAGAGATTAGGTGATGTTATGGAGGGAGTAATATATAGTTTATTTTTTTATTTGGATGATATAATGAGAAAAAGCTGGTATAAATTAAGTATAATTAATTATTTTATATTTTAAAAATATTATAAAATATTTGAGAGATTATAAAATATTGCAAGATATTTTGGGAAGGAAGTAGTATATATATATTCAGATCACTTTCTGTCTGCAGCCAATTGCCATTCAACAAGCAATCAACGTACACGTTAGACTCATCAAAATTCATACTACAGCAACTTCCTTCACATTCCCTACCCTAAAAACAAACAAATTAAAGACAAACCCTAATATACTTACATTATACGTATGAATTGATCGATCCATCAAATGAAGAAATTACACACCACCATTCACCAATATATATATATATATATATATTATTCGGCCCGCCTAAAGTTAACGGCGAGTCGAGACTTCCTTTGCCCATGGGGTCGATATCCCCAAATATCAACCACATCGTCTTCCCCAACGCTCTTCTTCAAAATCAAATCCTTCCACTGCGTTTTGATGACCACCACATTCAAGCTCGCCCAGCTCCCAACGCCAAGTTTGTATTCAGTTCCGTCGGAGTCGATTCCCACCACTCGGGCCCCCTCTTTTCCTGCCATAGCCGTCCTCTCCTCTGCCGTCAGAAACCCCATAAGTCTTTCGCTCCTCGTCACAAACAACCTGCTTTGCGACGGATTGATATCCGACGCAGTCAACCTCTTCGAATACAAGAACATCACCGGCACTTCCGCTGCGGCAACCGTCACCCACGCCGGAGTCGCCGGAATATGTCCGGCGTCGTCATTCTTCTTGTTGCGACGCTGTTGTCGTTGTCGCTTTACTGGTGCTGGATTTAGATCAGAAATCGACCTCTTCTTCTTCTTCTTCTTCTTCTTCAGTTTTTTACCTTCTTCAGAAACTGACGGCGTAGGAGTGGGGGTTTTAATTCCAGATGGAGAAGAAGACACGCCATATTCAAATTCAGATTCAGATTGAGGATTAAACCCCTGCTCAGAAGTTATATCAGAAACGACATTGCCGTCTTTCACTTTTCCGGCCACTGTGAATTCCTCCCATGGAATAATTCCTAATTCAGGATGTAAAACCCGTATAGGATTTGGATTGTGAATTGTGGTTAGGGAATGGTCGGTGTTTCTGGAGCTGGAAGGATCGACATTAGCAGGGTGAAAATTACTCTTTTGGATGACATTTGAAGTAAGCAATTCCGGCGCCGGCGGCTTCTCATCGACGACGGGAGATGAATCGGAATGACGCCAAACAATGTGACCGAAGAGCTTCATGAAATTATCCCTCTCCATAGCTCAGTTCTCTCTCTCTCTCTCTCTGCATGTATGTGTGTATTTTTTCTGTGGGTATTTGTAGAAGAAGATCATAATGTAGCTAACTCTTGAATAATGGGAGATTTAGATAAAATAAGACATGATTAGATTTTATTTTGGATTTGATGAGATTTATATATAGCAATATTTGATTTTAAATTTTGTAGGAGTATACTAATCATTTATTATTAAATATTTCACGTTATTACAAACATAAAATTTTATATTTTATAAAGTAATTTATTTCATAATGGAAATTATTATAAAAATTAAATATAAAAATAATTGTTAATAATATAATATATAATAATATAACAATACTATTTTTGTATAGTTAACGAGGCGGCAGCGCTCCAAGAGCCCCGCAGAGACATCCAATTTCGAATCCTTAACGAGGCGGCAGAGCTCCCTGGTAGCCTGATCGACAACCGCCGGTGAGGGAGTGCGAAGGCAGCGGCTAATGGCATCCCGACCTGCATCGGAAGGCGACGTGGAGCGAAACTTTTCGAAGATTGCGATAACAGCAAGCTTCTGGAGCGAGGTCTGTGGAATCCTCGTCTTCTCCAGTAGAGCAGCGTAGGAGGAGTCCACCACACTCCTGCTCATGTTCATCGGCGCCAGGGCCATAGGGCCTTGCCCAGGGCCCATTCCCTCTAGGGCCAATAAGGAGCCTATATTAATATATTTATATATACTCCTATATATTAATTAAAACTGATAAACTAATCTGACACGACAATTCGACACAAAATAATTGAATCTTGACACAAATCCGACATGATAATAAACGGGTCAGATTAGGCTCTCAACTCGAACCCCTCACAACAACCCGATTATAATATATTTATATTTGATTAATATATTTATATATATAAAATAATCATAATTTAATAATTTTTTAATAAATTAATTTAAACTAAGTTCAATTTTAAAATATTCAACCTCAAACCAATAAAAACTAACATAACACGGCAAAACAAAAAATTATTTAATTTGAATCAAGAAATTAGACTTAATTATGTATACAGGTCAACACGAGTTAACCCGAACCCGACACGACACGAACTCGACACGATAATAAACGGGTCGGGTTAGGGTTGATTAATTTAATCCGTTTTAAATATTTAACCCGACACGAACCCAATCGATCCATTGCTGGCTCTAATATTAATATATTATTATTTTTATAGAATATATAAAATAAAATTTTAAATAAAAGTTTATTTTATTATTATTTTTTAAATAAATGATTTCTACATTAATTTTTAAATTATTTATTTGTATGTTTTAGTGTGTTTATTTAATGGTATGATTTTATATATTTTTGTGAATTATGTAAAATTAAGAAGATATGATAGAGTAATATTTTGTGTATTTTTGTTATTTTTATTTTATGTCTATATGTTTAAATTTGTATATTTTATTATATTTTTTAGTAGTATTTTTAAAAATTTGTGTATTATGTAAACACTGGATTTGTTTATTTAATCTAAACTTTCTAATTTTTATTATTAGTACTACGCATTTGAAAAATATATTTTTCTCTCTCACAAACATCCCATAAAATATTATTTTAATATCAAATTCAAACCAAACTTTTTCATAAACTTTTTTGTTTGAAATTTTTTTTAAAAATAACTTTTGATTGTTTATAAAAATGTTCTTAAAAAAATATTAAATCAAATATATTTTTTTATTTTTATATTATACTAAACATGTCACATTAATTTTATATTTATATTTTAATTTTTAAATAAATAAAAAAAATATTCTATTAATATATTTATATTAAAAAAATATATAAAATTATTATTATATTATTATAATAATATAAAAAATATTCAAGGACTCAATATTTTAATTTTGACGGCAGCCTAATAAAGTTGAGGCCTGCTTCGCATGTACACATGATGTTCTTGATGTAATGCGATGCTGCAGTTCCTCAACTGCTCTCGATCTCATCTTATATGAAGCCATCGACCACCGTTTCGAAATCTCTTCAACAGAGACCACACAAAAATGCAAGAAATTTTCTATGTGAAAACACCCCTTTATTTTCAACTTTTTTGGCATATTTTTGTAATTTACTTTGAGCTGCTTAAAAGAATTTACTTAAGGGGGTGTGTTTGTTTGGGTTTTGGATTTTGTATTGAGATTTGAATAGTAAAATTTTAAATTCGAATAGTTGTATGATGTGATTTAAATAGGTGTTGATGTGATGTTTTGAATGTAAAATTGATTTTTAGTATAATATAAAAAATAAAAAATAGGTGTTTGATTTGATGTTTTTTTAAGAGAAAAAATGAAATGAATAGTGGATTGAAAATCCAATCCCCAAATAAACACCCTATATATTTTTATATTTTTATTTATTGTATTATAAAAAATTTTATTCTATACAAACCGATATATATATATATATATTGGTATGATGTACTTGCAACCTTTTTATAGTATCTTGTATATGAAGTTTTATTCATAAATTTCATTTTCTTTTTCCCACTTCACTACTCCAAAATTAGTTTCTATTTACAATAATATTTTTTGAAATTTTAATACTATCTAACTTTTAAAAAATGTCACGTCAAATACAATTTTTTTCTCATGAAATATCACATATGTATATATAGATATTTGAGTGGGTCTCGTTGTATTTGTGGGATTGATTCATTTTTCATTCTACAAAAAGTTATCAACACTTGTCCCGTAAGGATGATCTGGTGGTGTAGAGATTGAAGCTGTGACCATGAGGTCATGGGTTCAAACCCCCGACGCCTCGGGTCACTACACATGGTTCGCCTATGTAAACTCCGTATGAAATCTAAAATATTTGATTTTAAAATTCTGCAAATAATTTTTTTTTAATACTAAACTATCTCTATCCCTGTTACTTTTAAATCTCATGCTCATTGCATTTTAATTTTTACTTTTATACATTTTTATTTAATAAAAAAATTATATTTCTTTTATATTATATTTTTATATGTGATCGGTTTTATAAAAATATAATATTTTATTTAAATATACTACTACAATTACATATATTTATTTATAATTACTAATTTTATTTGTATTTAAATATATTACCAATAATATTTTAGATAAATTAATAATTCTAAAAATTATTTGCTTGGTGTATTAGTTTTGTAGTTTGACTTATTTTTATATTAAGTAAGAAAAAAATATTTTATATTAAATTGTTGCATTGTTTAATGTGTAGATTATAAATTATAAATTTTGTATGAATCTGTATATATTAAATTTTTTTAATATTAACCATAAACTATACTAAAAATATTTTTATTAGAACACCCCAATTTGGTAGAAAAATAAATAAAGTTCACAAAGATGGGTGTAGAGTTTAATTTATCACAATAAATAAAATTAGTGGGAGGACAATTATGTCATTTAAAATATAAAAAAATACAAACCCTTCAGTTAGTCTGTAAAACAAACTGAATTTGAAACATATAGATTATGCATAATTTTACCAACCAAACATAATAAATGATTCTAAATACAAATCCTATCACATATAAATCATACTGTAACAAAACAGCTCCTAAAAAAAAGAAAAAAATAAAAAGCAAATCTTCAAAAAGTAGAAAACCGTCAAACAAGGGCTTCGTGGCACAAATAGATACATTACAAAAAAATTTATTTTTTTGTAAGCAACAAGAGATTCAAATATATTTTTGTTACGGAAATATATCATAAATAAAAAAAATATGGTACAAAAGCTATTTCTGCATTAAACAACTTTTTGTTTCGAAAGATATCCGTAACAAAAAAAAGAAATTGATACGAAAGCAATCTCAGCGTCAAATATATTTTTTGTTACCGCCTAAAAAGCACAACAATATACACTGTATTTATTAAGATTGCATGACAAATAACTTAAATGTAGTTTTTCTCATTATAAATCAAAGATTCATTATGATGCCTACAAATTGACGTGAATTCACCAATGTTCATACACATGGCAATAATAAATACATAACCATTACATACATTTCAGCATAGCCAACAACGACGGTGCCAAATACTCAAATAAAACTTGATAAATCCTGAGCCAAAGACATCCTATCCTCAAATTTATAAAGTAGTAATACGTACACAAATGGATCATTCCAATACAACCGTGGTGCTATTGGATATGAAACAACTAACAGAATCAACTATCTATCGGGGACAAATTGGCAAATTTTACAAGAATAAGGATAGACAACCACATGATTAGTGAATGTTGAACTATTTTCAACCTACAAACGGTGACTAATGATACTAAAAATCATTATCAGATTGCAAAAAAAATGATGCATAGCACTTGATAATTGTGAAAATAAGAAGGAACCATACCCATTCAAGACAAGTTTCAGGTGATCCATGAGACATGTAACCTGGAAAATAAACAAATAGGTATAAAGAATAGATTAACTATAACTTTGAGATGCATAGAAGCACATGATAATTGTGAATTTATAGTCAACTTGCACATGAGGAATCAATTTTGTGAGAGTTCGGATAGCAGCGCAGCCCAGTAGAGCATCCATTTTGAAAATTCGTATGAGCGCAGGAAGAAGTAGATGCATATGCTCATGAAAAGTCCCTAAAGAATAATGTCAAAGTATTTCAACTTTATCCCCGTAAGGTGACAATAAAAAGTAAACCAAAAACAAAAGGATGCCACTAACAGCCAAAAACATCGACAGTGCGCAGAATATCAACTAGATAAGTGTAGTGTTTAAACCTCTCGGTTCATACAACTAAAAAAGCACGGACTTGCCAATCTGTAGAAATGTAAATAGTACCTGGTATTTCTCTAATGTATTTGTTATAGCAACAACATCACCTCTGCACAGATGACAAATTCCGGCATTAAGAAGGTGCCCTTTACTCCATACTTCAATAAGTTGTCTCTTCAAATATCTCAATAGCCTTCTGATACTTAAATAAGGACCCATGACGTATTTCACGACATTATACAGGAGCATGGAAGTTAGAAAATAAGAATACTTATAAAAACCAAAGTGTGATTAATTATGAAGACAAGTGTAAAGAGGGAAAGTAATAGAGGAAGCAATGTGCAAATGGGATCGGCCAGCAAAAGTGGCAGCCAGAAATGTCAATTAATGATGTCCATTTTAAGTTTGATGTAAGCTGGAAGCAAAATAAGTTGGAGATGGTGTAAGGATAATGATAACCCAGTAAATACAATCCATGGTTAAATATATTGCAAAGTTCACTTACAAAAGTTTAGAAATGAGATAATTAAAGATGAAATAAACAATACTCTAAGTTATAATATATGAAAAAATGGAACTAGGCAACCGGATTAAAGAACAAAAAGAAAGATAAACAGCTTGCAATTCTAGTTTGAAGCATGGAACAAGAACAATCAGCTAGATATCACTCCGGAGAGAGAGAGAGAGAGAGAGCACGCAAACTTAACTGTTCTAATTAAGCAGAAAATTCAACAACTCTTTCTGTTTGCATTGATTTCCAGATGCTACTTCTTCACTTTGAAAGAGATCGGCAATTCTTTCATAGTAAACAATAGCCTGCTCCAAATTCTGCCCTTGTTCATACAGCTCAGCTATTTCCTGCCCAGTAAGTACAAATATCTGCTTATTGCCTTTCAACTTACATATTACACAATACACACAAGCGTGCATATCAACGACTTAAGATGCCGATTTTATTTTTTGTTTGCAAGTATGACCAAGGCAAGGAAAATTTCATTATATGTATATATTCCCAAGTAAATTAAACGAGGGGTGGAATCAGATTAACAAGGACAAAAATGTCCAGTAATGACATCAAAAATAGCAAATTACTTACTTTGTAATATCTGGCAGAGATACCAAGCCTTTCAAAATCCATAAATAAATTTAGAGATTGCTCTAGGCATGATATGGACTCTGAAAAATACAGTGCAAATTACTAACAGTATTGAAAATAACAGAGTGTCATGTAGACAAGCAACAAGATGAACATAAACTACAATCATTAGCAATTTAATTTTCTCCAACATTGGTTTATATAAATCATAAATTCTAAGATGAGGACAGTATTTGCGCTCAATTAAGGACAACAAAATCGTGCTCCTGTGTTAATTTACCAAGATCTGAAAATAGTTCTCCGATTCATATGCAAAATTCCATCAACACTTTCTATATAACCAAGAAAAATACACCCATTATGTGCAAATATAAAGGCATACATACTGAACCCAAGGATATCTTTGATGCTGGAGAAGGATAAGTTTGCAGCATATCAAGCTGCAAGCCTACGGATCGGAAAGCTTACTTTCAAGTGACTCATATACACTGCTCCAGCCTGATCCCCTGATTAAATAAATATTTAAATTATATTTGATCAACAATTGTTCACACATCAACAGTTATGATCACCGATTCACCAAGAGGATAGATTTCATGGGAGCAATTTAACATTAATAAAAGTTCTTCACAAAAAAGAACTTAAGAGCATCAAATTCAACCTCATTAGGTACTCTCGCCCATTGAGTTTCATACTTTATTAAACAATTAATGGGGGTCGGCATAAGCCATCGATTTGGGGAGGATCCTTAAAATGAGACTATCTTTTCAAATTCTACTTTAGATTGGAATTCGGTAGGAACTATATATGATGCCTGCAGAACATAATCACAGGCACAATTCCTTGTACAGATTACACAGCACTTTCATTCTTTACTCGATCGAAATCAGTTTGTTTACATATATATATATATGTGTGTGTGTGTGTGTGCGCGCGCGCGCAAGAAGAAAGATATATATGAATTGATATGCATGCATGCATGCATCTCACCAATGACAGACATCCAAAGAATATATTCCATGAAATGAAAGACAAATTCGGATCCGAATACAGAATGAATTGTACCAACAACACAATTATTTGGACAGATTTCTACAACTAAGTAGCTTGAGCGCGCAGTAAGTAATATGTATGTTTGTTTGTTTTGGGAACATACAACAATATCCCACACCACACCACACCACACCCACAATATATCTATATATCCACTGTACTCCACGAGCTAAGGTGAGGTGTTCAAAGAACAATCATGCGATCGATCATATATCACATCAATTATGGTTCTTCCTTATTATATGAATTGAATGAATCATGGATAATAAATGGTGTCCTTGTATTGAAACCCTAATGAACCCCTCACTTGGAAAGTATCACCCGCTACAGGGAAGTCCTCAAATCCAATTAGGATTTTGAAAGTCTTGGAAGCAAGATTGTATTTAAGAGCTTTCCCTGGACTACAATAGAAAACCAAGTATGAGGGTGAGCGCTCGGTGGTGTGATAGCTGCTATGAATCACAGCAATTACACCGAAGCTGCCACAATGAAGACCAAGATGGTTCAATTGATAAGGATGATCACGGGAAAGATTAACCTGATAAGTTTTGGTCCATCCAGTTCCAGTGTTGTAGTCGTTCTTTATGCTCTTCATCTGATAGACACTGAATATCATCGTCGAGCGTCCGATTGGAACAAAAGTTAAGCGGTCGAAAGACTCTCCGAAAAAGTAATTCTCCGTCCAATCTGTCTCGAAATCCTCCTCTGTCATAGCAGACTTAATACTCGGCATTATCTGAAGCGAGCCTGTGTGGACGACGTAATACCAGGAAAAGTCGATATCGCCCTCGCAGATCCAGTGAAGTCTTGCATTGCAGTAGACACCATTTTCAAAGTTGACTATGTTCATGTAATGGGGATAAGAAACGATTGTCTCTAGGAGAGGCCAGTAAACTTCGACCCTGTACCCTTTGCACGGGACATAACGAATGCCGACAATTGTGTATTCATTAGTTTCGTCCGGATCATAGACTACGTACATAAAAGAAAGCCTCGGTAGCTGAAACTCCGGTGGGAGGTCTAGTCTGGAGAAGTGACTGGTGGCTGGATGGTAGATCGCATAGCATGGCTCCATGGAGTTAGAGTCACGAGGCATGTAAGTAAGAAGCAACATGCCACCTGAAGAATGCAGAATGCTGGCGGAGGAAGCATTCTTTAAGAACTTATCGTCGAACATGCCGCTCCTCTCCTGATTTGAGTCGATTCGATGATGATGATTCTCATAAGAGAAATATTGAAACAGAGGGTTCTTGCCCAGGACATTGTTGCACACAAGACCGAGTGCCGGATTTGGTTCAGGGCTGGATGACAACCAGTAACGGGGGTTGGTGAGGATCTCTTCCCAGGCTTTATAGGCAAATTTGAGGCGGACTAAGGATTGAACTGGTAGGTTGAAGAAAACCCTTTCGAGGATATGTTCGAGCCACGGCATCTCCTTCTGTGAATTTGAAGGAGCATACGAAGAACAAGCCAAGAAGTCGGGGGATTCTTGGACTTCTTTTCCGGACTTGTGGCGTTTTGAAGATCTTTCTTCTTCTTCTTCTGAAGCCATTGACGTGGGGCGTTTTGAAAACTTTCTGAAGAAGTTCTTGAATATGAGAGAGATGAAGAACCAGAAGGATTGCAGTTAGTATTTCTATAGCAACTGAATTAAATCGTTTAACTATACATATATACATATATATGTGATATTAGATGGGCTATAATACAAGTTGTGGGCCTAGTTAAGTGATATCATAGAAATAAAAAAGCCCAAAGTATTATCATCCTGGTGAGAGAAAGATTCGGATTCAAAAACCCTGTTGTATTGTTTGTGTTGTGTTGTATTGACTCGGACCTCTTTTTTATCTGGTGTGATGTGGTTGTTGGTTTGCTGCTTCCTATTTTCTTTTCTTTTTTTCATTATGTAATCATAACCTAAAACATTATTATTATTATTATTTTTATTATTATTGTGTCGTCTAGCCAGCTAGCTAAGCCATATATGTTATCCTAATTAATTAATTAGGGCCATGGTTAAGGAGGCCGGAGCCTTCTAATTAGTAGAAGCAGCTGCAGTTAGCATTTAGAAATTTTGATTCCATTCTACAACCAATGGCAATGGGTATACAGAAAGACATACTTCAAGAAAAAGTTAAAAAAGGGGAAAATGTCAAGAGTCCTTAGCCAATGTTGATTTAAGTTTTTTTTTTTTTTTTTTTTTTTTTTAAAAAAAAAAAAAAAAGAAGAAACAACTAATTCAAAAGCCACAAATAATCTATTAAGGGTGTGTTTGGGGGTTTGGATTTTGATTCGGGATTTGAATAGTACAAATTTTGAATTTGAATAATTGTATGATATGATATAAATAGGTGTTGACGTGATACTTTGAATGTAAAATTGATTTTTAATATAATATAAAAAATAAAAATTAGGTGTTTGATTTGATATTTTTGAGGAAAAAAAATTGAATGAATAGTGTAAATCCAATCCAATCCCCCAAACAAGCACACCCTAAAAGGACAAGGACTCGGAGCCTTTATGATTATGTCATAATAAAAAATAAATCGTATTTGCAGATAATAAAAATATGTCTTTACCTTCTAGTTACATTTTAGATATAAAGTTGTAAACCTTCTTTTGATATACGACATTTGGTATCAGAGCTAGCCTACCCATGTCTATAATGGCTAAAAATAGAACCAACGCTGGGAGGCATTAGAACAACAATTCTCTAATTTTGCAGAAGAATAGACTATTCTTACCTAGAAACAGGTTCGACGGGCGGAGTCACATCTGGAAACCAAGCTGGAGGCGTTGGAAATCCGTTGAAAAATCAACTTTTTGCTGCAATTACCGAATAGCTAGCAAATGCAACTTTGCAAGACAGAGAAACCACACCTAATAATCTCGCTAGTACTATTCGTAATTCTGCGGATATAGAATCGATCTCACTAGTATTTTGTTTTCTGCTCCGATAGCGAAAATGAATGATACATAAATTTCACACAGTTATAGAACGCCTACTTTAGATTTTCCAAAGTTTAACGGTGACAATCCTCGATTATGGCTAAGGAAATGTGGGCCTTATTTCACTTACAATCATAACCTGATAACGATAAGCTTAGTTTAGTGGCTATGAATATAAAAAGAACTGCAGACCATTGGTTTTTCGATTATATTGAGGATAAATCTAACTTGACTTGGGCAAAATTCACCAAAATGATTTTGGAGAGGTTCTAGAATCCTTCGGGAGGCAGTATGCAGCAGCTCCCTGCTAAAAGAAAATAATAAACACTTAACTGAAGAATACTTTGTTGAGAGCTTCATTGGAAAGCTAGTGACTATCCAGAAGCCACATACATTTTAACTAAACACATTTTGACTAGTCGGTTATACAAGTAGTTTGTATTAAAGTATTTGATAAAACAATTGTTTAATATTTTAATTGTTAATATATATAGAATGAGATTTTATAGTTTGTATTCTATCTTTAATGATTTATAAAAGGTGTGTTTGTTTGGGAGATTTAGTAGAATTGTCACTATACATTCAATTTTTTTCTTTAGATGACCTTCCAAATTTTTACTATTCAAATAAACTCTCAAAATTTACATTTACTAAAATATATATATATATATACATGTATAAATTAACGATCCAATCTTCCCAACACAGCCCAAACCTCAAAGAAACACGCCCATACTACAAGATTGGGAAAGATGATCTTCTGTGAAAAGTAACACTACATAGCAATGAACACAGAACACTATGTGTTAATATCAATACCGTAACATAATATGGATGGTCTAGGGGTGGGTACATAGATCCATACGATCTAGCAAGACGTGAACCTAACTAACTCTTTTCTTAGCTGATTTAAGACTAAATATAGATACTATTGTAGCTAGGATTTTTATTAATTAGTAGAAGTGTATAGATATATTAACAAATTAAGAGTAACATATATAGGGCTTAAAGTAATTCATTCCCAAAATGAAGTGTATTTATTATATGCTCAAAACCTTGAGGGGCATGGCATACATTGCAAAAGATGCAATTACACCCACCCCTCTTATGTATTGCATGCATCAAATGTCAAGAACTTGAACAAGAGTAATGGAACTGAACCAACCAACTTCATCTGTCTGGTCTGCTCTTATGAGATCAATCACCAACAATTAACTATTACTACTTACTTATTTACTTTTACCATGCTCTTTCTTTATTGTAAGGACAGGATTCCAAGGAAATTAGCTTCACCTTATTCTTCTTCGTCGATAGATTCCATAAGCAGCGATAGTAGCAGCTGCAGCTGAAGCCATGGCCAACATAATACCCGCAGCAGCAGTCCAGGTGGCTATAATTTGTTTAGCTTTAGCTTTAACTGTAATTGGTGCTGGGTGGTTGTGGCGCTCATGGAAGGCCACACTTGATTCGTCATCAGCAATACCCATTTGGCCCCTGATTTAATAAATTAATAATGCATCTATGTAATCTGAACTATCAATCTAAGATAAGAAGGGGATGAGAGGAGTGGAGAAAATATATATATATATATATATAGTTAGAGAGAATTGCTAAACCTCCAAAGCCTCTCAACAATTTCACCCTTTAAGATCTGTTCCTCAATTAATTCAGCAACATCATTAGGCGTGACGTATCCATACCTGCGTAATTAGAGCAAGAACTAGTCGTCTATGATCAATCCTTGCGCAATACCTAACATGAATCTATATACACTGTAATTAAAAGATAAAAGAAATATTGTTGTCTGCACAAACAAGAGTAATAAAATACAAAAATCTTAGTCTCACCAATTGCCAGCAACCTTTCCCTCAGAATCACGACTGAAAATAATCACATTGCCTGCAAAGTAGCTTGAATTCCTGTCTCCTCCTATGTGTGAACTGGCCAGCACAAACACCCTACGTTTCAAATCCTTGGCTTCAATCACTTCGTTGAACTTTTTTATCAATGGTGGGCCACAAGCAGAACATCTTTTATCTCGACGTTTATGAGCACATACAAAGATATATGAACCTCTCAAGTCTTCCAAAAACCCAGATGAGCACCACCTCTTGCCCTTAACAATCACTTCATCTACAAATTCATGGACTTCTGAGGGTTTCAGCCTCAGGCGCCTACATATTGGAAACCAGAAATCACATATATGTCACCAGTAATAATCAAGATAAATAAGACAGTTAGGCACGCTTAAATAGTCTGAAATAACAGCTACTCTTATAATTTAGTGCTTAACGATGGTATGAAGGACATGAAAAGCAGTAATCCTTTGCTCTGTTAACATTTTAAGCTCCCAAAAGGCAACCCGAAGCAGATCATAAACAAGTTCATAACTGAATTTGCTCTGTTAGATCTTAATCATAAACAAGTTCATATGGAACAGTAGTTATTGCTGATCGCAGACAATTTTGAGGTGAGACCTGTATACTTGCATGTCTGGAAATACGAGGACATTTCCATCGAAGATCCTCGCATTTTTGTTTTTCTCGCATATAGTCAGGCGGCTCTGCAGCCATACAATACAATGATACTATATTCAGAATTGGAAAATAATTAAAAATCATCAAGAGCCTAGCCTAAGTCGTCATTATTCATTATATAATTGTTATAGTAGATCATCATCACCGGTTTAGGAGCCCGTGAAAGCGTCCTTATGTTCTCCGAGATAAGCAAACAAGGGACCAGAAATCCCGACTTCTCATCGAAGTATGGCGGCCAGCTTTCATAACTCCCGCAGCAAAAGAAAAAGTGGCGATGGTGAGGGTTAACCGTTCCTGCAAGTTCGAGTTTATACATTCCCTCTCGCTCGAAGCCGTACAGGGTTGATTGGTCCTCCTCTGTTCCCTCCTCAGTGGACGAATCCTCCATTCCAAGGATCAAGGGAGCTACGTCCTTCAGTTCTTCGTTCTCGGTGGATACGTTCGTCGTTCCTCCGACCAAAGCAGCTACATCCTTCAATTCTCCTTTCTCGGTGGATATGTTCTTCGTCCCTCCGACCAAGTCAGCTAGATCCTTCGATTCTGCGTTCTCGGTGGATACATTCTGCGTTCCTCCGACCAAGGCAGCTACGTCCTTCGATCTTCCGTCCTTGGGGGATTCCTCCTCCATTCCTCCGATAGAAGCAACAAAGTTCCTGGCTAGTTCCTGCTTCATCCGTCGGGCATCCTTGTCGAATTCGTCCCTCAATTCTCCAGGCATGGTGAAGCGATGATGCGCAAAACAACAGAAAGCTCAACAAACCAGAAGGTTTACACAAGGTTTTTGGTGCACAGAAAACCGCTTTATGTATGTATGTGTATAAATGCGGTGCGGATCGTGCGGTATACAGTTATACAGTGTTTGGCAAAAAATATATATATATTTTTTTAATTGAGCTTTGATTGGTTAAACAACTAATTTAGATATTTCATAAACTAATTTTTTGGAATAATTTTTTAATTAAAAAATTAATTTTTAAAAACTAACTTATTAAATATTTTGAAATAATTTTTTCAATTTATTTTTTTTATTCTTTATATGTTCTCCAAAATTTATTATATATTTTATATAAATAAATATATTTTAATTATTTATTAATTATATTAGAATATTTATTATATTATAATTTTACTGCTATAAATTTAAAATAATTTATTTTTATATATTAATAATTTTAATTGTAAAATATATAAATTTATTAAAATCAATATAAAATAAAAAATATAAATATTAATAATTTATTTTTATATTAAAATTATATTATATATTTTATAAATAAATTAAATTTATTGAAAATTATAAATATAATGAACTAATTGATAATTAACATAATAAGTATATTTACAAAAATTTATTATTTTATATTTTACATCATTTTCAATAATAATAAAAAAATTATTTATATTTTTTAATAAAAATATATTATTTTTTAAATTTAATTATAATAAAAATAAACACTATTTTATAACACTTTTACAATTTTCAATAACTAATAACAAAAAATTTTAGACATTATAAAGTCAAAAGAATACAATTGAATATATTAGAAAAAATAAAATAGAAATGTCCACACAATTGTCATTTTAAGTATAAACAACTAATATTAAACCGTTGTTTTACCATCAGCTAATGAAACTTGAATCAACTAACAGCTAACAACTATCGTGTCCCAAGGTTTGGTTAGATTAAAGGTGTGTTTCTTTCTATTTGGGGCATTTTTATTTGGATTTAATATCAAAGTAATCTTCAATTCTAAAAATATAAAATATAGAATTTGAAAATTTTAAGGTGTGTTTTTTCTATAAAATACTTATTTTTTAAAAAATATTTTTTTAATAAAAAATTAATATATTACCCACATTATTATTTTTATATTACTTATTTAATTTATTATAATTCATACTATTTCTGTTTAATAATAATATGCTACTTGATGAAAAAAAATATTAATATATTAATATTTATTTTTATCATTATTTTTATTATGTATTTATATAATAATTAGTATTTAAAAATGAATATAAAGAGTATAAAAAATATGTTTTTTAATCATTTCATTAAAAAAACACATTTAGAGGATGTTTAACAAATAACTTTTTTAAGAACTTTTAACTTATTGAACAACTTTTAACTGTTTGACCAGTCAAAAAACTAATTTAGGTGTTTGATAAATTAGCTTTTTGGAATAGCTTTTTGGACCCAAAAAGCTAATTTTTGAAAAGCTAACTTACCCAGCGTTTTGAAATAGTTTTTTCTGTAAAATCTTTTTTATTCCTTATATGCCCTTAAAAATTTATTATACATTTTACACAAATAAATATATTTCAATTATTTATTAATTATATTAGAATTTTTTATTATATTATAGTTTTACTTTTATAAATTTAAAATAATTAATTTTTATATAAAAATTATTTTAATTGTAAAATATATGAATTTATTAAAATTAACATAAAATAAAAATATTAATATTAATAATTTATTTTTTTAAAAAAATTACATTATATAACTTTTATACTAAAAATAAATTAAATAAATTAAATTTATTGAAAATTATAAATATAATGAACTAATCGATAACTAACATAATAAATATATATATGAAAAATTTATTATTTTATATTTTATACTATTTTCAATAAAAAAAATTATTTATATATTTTAATAAAAATATATTATTTTTTAAATCTAACTGTAATAAAAATAAATATTTTTATAACACTTTTAGAATTTTCAATAACTAATAACAAAAATTTTTAAACATTTTAAATTCAAAAGAACATAATTGAATATATTAGAAACAAGAATAAAATAGAAATGTCCTTAATTGTCATTTTACTTGTAAACAACTAATATCAAACAATTGTTTTACCAAATATTTTAATACTAACAGCTAATCGAATCAGCTAGTCAAACCAATTAATTGAATCAACTAACAGCTATCAGCTAATTGAATCAGCTACAGCTAACAGCTATCAGCGAATTGCCAAACACCTTGACAAAAGAAACACTATGAATGGTTTGCATATTTATTTTCTTTAATCAAAAGTTAATTGAGTTTCTTAGATTTTAGATTGTTTAGTTGCTCCATCTCGTCTTGCGTCGCACATTTGAATATATATACTTTCCCTGTATTCTTTCTTATTATATAAAGAGTGATATTTGTTTTTTATACATAAATTTTTTAATATTAGTATTATGTTGGGTATAGTAAAAAAGATAAAAATCTCTTTATTAGTTTTATGTAATATAAAAGTGGTGGTATTTGTGTAATATATTGTAAGTTGGAAGGATATTTATTATGTTAGGTAGACAATACAATTTTTAAATTAAAAAATAATACTTTTATTTTGAAACAAAAATGAAAAATAAAACACTTTTTATGAGGCAGATGAAGTATATATTTGTAACACATAATTACATGATAAGTCTTTTTTACCCTTACTGTTATGTCTGCAAGTAGATAATCTTGTTGTGTAAGACTGTACTGATGTATAAAATGTTGATTTTCTTTGTCCAAATATGTAAATTTGGCTTTTCTTGTACTATTGCCCCACAAAAGATTTTTGTCCGACTTTGAAAGGTCTGGAACCCTTACTTTAAAAAAAAATTATTAAAAAAAAATAATTTTTAAAAATATCATTTCCTATGCATTTAGTTGAGAATTTTTCGAAAATTTTTTTTAATTATTATTTATACTTTTTTATTCATATCTATTTTTATAGCATCAAAAAATTATTATGATATAAACTTTTTATTATTTAAAATTAAATTTTCACATAAGTACTCTATCAATTTTTATTAGTTTTTAAATTTATTTATTATTTTTTATATTATATATTATAAATTAAAAATTAAAAATTAAAAAGGAATGGGGTGGGGGGAGGGGGAGGGGGGCTGCCCCTTAGCCCCACATACATCCGCCTCTGATTTTATCTATGTATCACATGCCATAATTGGGAGGATGATCGATGTCTTCCTTGTTTCATCTATGTACAAGAATACAAAATTGAGAGGATGGCCAATGACATTCTTATCTCATCAATGTACAACAACCCCAAAATTGAGAGGATGAACGATGCCATCCTTTTCTTTTCATTTCTTGAGAAAAGTGAAAGACAAGATCTTTGTCATAAGATTATATTTATATGAAAATATTTATATGGTTTAAAGAAATTTTATTATATTTTCGAAATACATGTTGAAGTTTCTTATTTTATAAATTTTTCGTGCAGCATAGCGCATCGACGAGCACTATTATATTTATATACGGTTGCTTGATGCTATCCTAGGCTGTTATGTTGATCGTTGCTAGTTGATAGATAAAATCTAGAAGTCCATAATTTTTATTTATTTATTTATTTATTAAAATGAACTTATATATAAAATTAGCACATAAGCTATCAAGTTATTTTTATATTTTATATACAAATTTAATTTTTTTTTTATAAAAAATACTTATAATTTATGTATATATATATATTTGACAATGTATATATAATTGCATTATTAATAATCCAATTATCAAATATAAAATATTAATCAACTCAAACATAATTAATTAAATTATTTAAAAATTATAGATTAATTAACTATTTTTAAAAATATGTATATATATAAATTCAAATGAAATAATATTGACATGTAATAGAAATAAATGTAAAAGATTAAACTAACCTTATTAGTATTAGTACTGTATAATATAAAAGTAATCACATTTGTGTAATATGTTGTAAATTGGAATGATATTTGTAAGGTTAGGTAGACAGTTACTAAAAGAAGAAATAAATTGATAGTTAGTCAAAGGACTAAAGAAGTATTAAAATTTATTGTATTTCTTTCATATTTTATTTGCAAATATAATTTGTTATGGTTGTTTATATTATTGCAATGAGATTGTGTTTTTTTTATTAATATATACAGTGAAATTCTCACAATAATTTTTTTTGGTTTATTTATGCTTAAATTAATATCGTATTATATTGATTATATTGTTCTTATATATTGATTTATTTTAATATATTTAATCTATTAAATTATAATTTTTTTAAAAAAAATTTAAAATAATTACTATTTTTAATTATTACATATAAATTATTTTATTTGTAAAATATATAAATCTCTTAAAATTAAATCAAGTAGAAAAGAAAAATATTATCAATTAATATATATTTTTATTATATAAATTTTACATTAAAATTTATAAGCAACAATAACATAATAAAAATATATATACGAAACATTTATTATTTTATATTTTACACATTTCAATGAAAATTATTATTTTGTAATTAAAATACTTTTCTCAAATCTAAAAAATAAAAATAATAATTTTATAATAATTTTATAATTTTTAATAATTAATAAAAAAATATTCTTAAAAATTTTAAACCAAAATGAATAAAATTAAATATTTTAAAAATAATATATAAATATCTTTAATTGTCGTTTTACGTATAAACAACTAGTGACAAACAATTGTTTTTTCAAACACTTTAATACAAACAACTAATTGAATCAGCTAGTCAAACCAGCTAATTGAATCAATTAACAGCTAACAGCTAATTGAATCAACTAACAACGAAAAGCTATCGGCTAATTGCCAAACGCGCCCTTAGTTACCGTATTTTTTTTATTTTTGTTTATATTTTTTTATATATAAAAATTAATTTTGACTATTTTCATACAAAGTTTTATTACCAAAATATAATTAAATTAACTATCACATTATTAATCACTCGTCCATAGCACGAGTTATAAACTAGTATATTCTAATAATTTATTGAAACCTACCATTGTCCCTGAGTACAACCATTACCTATACATCACAACTAAGTACCAGATTTTCATATGCTACACAACTATATTGCTATTATAAAGTTATATACGTTAATACTAAAGGTATGTATATGTATTCTGCAAGTATGTTGGTCATGGAGTAAGGTATCTGGTGATGTTAACATGTGAGAACGAATGGTAAATATAACATCATGTCGTTTATATAGTGTTTGAATTCAATTAATGGTAAACACTTATAGTTCTATTAGTAGATTAAAATTTGTCGTACTAACCAATGTATGTATAAAATGCAAAGACATATATAACGGTCTGACATAGGTATGTAAGAAAATAGTAGAGAGATGTATATATATTCAAAAGGTATATTGGTAAACCACTGAGGTACCCGTTGATGCTAACCTTTGTGAAGGCATGACATGTTGTAATATCATGTCATTTTTATAGTGTTTGAAATCTATTATTATGAATTCAATTGTATAGAATATTAGTAGATTATTACTCCCTATTGTTAAATTGTGCAACCATTGCATATCCTATCATAACTAAGTACTATCTTTATCAACAATACAACTATGTAACCCATTGCATATTGTTTACCCACATGGATCATGTTGTTGACTTTTCTAAGAAATTTTTTAAATATTCTAGATTGGTATAATTGATTACGTTAAAGTTAAATATATCTCGTGTATGGATACTGCTAAAGATGATGCTATGCTTCACTTATTGTTCGAGATATGAAGTAGACCCCCCTTCGGGCATAAGTAACTTAACCCGGGGTATTTACTAGCTTAATATAGGTATGTTATTAAATAACTAAGGCCTGTCGTGTTTGACAAGAAATATGTATCAATATGATGAAAGCATAAACCTTCGCAGTATATGTATATATTTTTCTTTTTTAGATGCACCACTAATATACTCAGGTATTTGTGAATGCACTTTTGTTCATTGCAGACATTACTTCAACCATTGCAAGGTCTTATAATGAATTAGTTCATTCTAATTTAAGGGTAGTATGTATAACTTTTCGTTACTTTGTTCGTCTCAGGATAACTTTTCTAACTAATGTGTAACATGTATATGAACATATATATGTAGTTTGAAGGTATTTCGATCTAGTTAGACGGGTACATTGATCCATTGTGGATGTACAACATGTGCAAACACAATCCACGATGTAATCCCTCAAACAGTTTAAACACAATCCCATCGAACATGAGGCGAATTAAGCCAATTCAACCAACAATTCAATCCGAAATAATGTAGTACCCAAATCAACTACAAATAACATAACCCAAATCAATCCTAAGTCCATTCAAATTCGTTCATATCCTGTGCTGCTCATTGGAGTCTACCGTTTGAAGGGCGAACCTTTCAGTATTCTGGTTGTGGTAGCTCTTCACATTATCAAATTTGCCACCGATGCCACCAATGGAATGGAATGCCGGATTTGCGTGGGCGTAACGCTCTGCGAACATGTAGACCAAATGACTGTAGGTGAGAGTGTCACCTTGATGCCGATATTTTACGTACTCGTCTTCCCTACCATAGGCCATCTGTGTGTTGCATTCATGTATAAAGATTAAAATTGTGTCTGCAAAAATAACAGAATATGTACAGTGACGTGGACTTTGAGCTAAAGTTATTAACCAAACAAAGAAGGCGGTACCACGACAGTCTCATCTTCGGGCAGCCCAAAGAACGGCTGAACAGAGTTATTTTTTATTGCTCTAATATGTTCATCCAATATATGTTTTTTCAGTTTCTCCACCTCGTTGTGGAAAAATAGTACTGCACACCGGTTGATAACCGAATTGTATTCCTCATGTGGTTTGTAAATAAATAACATCAGTTCATATTACCAAAATTTCGAATTTATTTAAAAGTTTATCAGAATCTATCAGGAGTACGTAACAACGCATTATGAGTACACAATAGTCCCCTAAACAAAATACCACGTTTGCCAACCCATAAATATGACTACTTACCGAACAATCAAACAAAAATACTAAAATATACAACTTCGGGTAACTAAACATAATGTACATCTACAAAATTAACAAAAATCAAATATTAAACAAATAAAATCACCCAAAATCGGTGTTAGAATACAACACGCAACCCAGTCTATATGGGAAAACATACGAACGGTTTCAAACCCGGTTAACAAACACAACTACACCGATCACCCAAGACTCATCAATACCGAAATGAGGCATACAAACACAGGACTAAGACTTACATTCAAAATAATAGAACAAACTACGATATAAAATACTAATGACAACAAAATCAAAAATAAAAAATGTCCGATAAGACACTTATTTGAGCTTTTCCTGGGGAATAAGAGCAAGTCAGCTTTTTCCTTCACCATTTTTACATCGATCGGTCGCTACTTGATTGCTGGGGGTTAGATAGCGTCAGTTCATCCGAAAATAAAAATAATAGGATTTAAAATTGAGATGAGGGCTTTATGGGAAGTTTCTTGCATCAACTATTTGATAGAGATAACTATTTTTTTTTTTTTTAATTCGAAAAAAATGGTGCGCGATATTTAATTAAAAGTATATAAGAAGATATATAAATATATATATATATATATGAAATATTGATCAACCTATTTAAAGTAGTTGTTGTTGGTAATTGAAGGAAAAATACAAAGGGGAGAATTATAACAAACCTAAGCTATAAAATAGATATTACCGTCTAATTGATTTCCAACTGAGGATGAGTAAATTTTTCTGCCAGAAATTTTAATCGACTTTTACAAAATAAAAAGTGATTTTAGTTTAATTAATGTTCTATAAATTTACCTACCATGCCAGTATCATCAGTATGCCACTAGGAGAGAGGCGATTCGTCCCCTTTTGTACATGCTCGTACCTGGCAAGTCGCAACTTTTGCAGGATGAAAGGGAATGGCAGTGCACGTGTTTGCAAAAGTCGGCACGTGACCAACACTAGCCTAGACTACATCTTTCCAAATTTCACTGCACTTTCCTCCCAAAAACCCTACACAAAACCCTAGACTTCATTGTCCCCAAATTTCCCACAAATTATTGAGAGTATTACGATTCCATTCCTAATTTGAAACTAGTCTTCAGTTCTTACAGCTTAATGGTCTCTCACTCTTCTCCATTTTCACCTGAGCTTGCAAAAAATGTTGTCCTCCGTTCCTTTACTTGTTTCTTCGTCTCTTCTGCTGCTGCTGCTGCTGTTGCTGCACCCGACGGCGTCGCATTCGCTCGCCGGTCCTCATATCGCAGATGTCAATGTCCTTTTGCCTCCTAGAATGACACACCCTGTTGAATACAGGCTTCAGGGCGCCGACGGCTGCTTCAAATGGTGCGTGGCGTTGCAATAGTTGTAGCAGACGTGTTTTTTTTTTTTTTTTTTTTTGCATTTGCTGTTGATGGTCGTTGTTGTTGCCGCTTATCTGTTTATTTTCTTGTGCTTAGGTCATGGGACCATCACGATATACTGTCGGTAATCCCGGAGTACAATTCGAGTATCCAGTGCTCCACGAGTGCGCGTTTGAAGTCCATAGCTCCATATGGTGGACGGAAGGAGACTGCTGTTTATGCAACCGATTTGAACACTGGAATGGTGATTCGTTGCAAGGTTTATATCGATAAAATATCCAGGGTTCAGATATTTCATAATTCTATTAAGCTTGACCTTGATGGGCTCGCCACTCTTCGCGCTCGGGGCTTTGATAGTGAAGGTATGCATACCATCTGCTGATTTTTATTAATTTATTTTTTGAACGCTTGCGTTTCTCTTATGTGAAGTCAGTCTGATTTGCAATTAATTTGTAGCAAGTTTACTTCATCGCAAGTCTCAAATGTGGTATGGATGCAGTGGGTTCATGACACTGTTAATGAGTTGAATGTATGTCTTAATAAGCTTGAATAGCTTGTTTAGTTTCTGGAGTTTCTTGTGTTAAGTCTGCATTCATATTCTGATGGAAATCATGTTAAGGTCTAGCATCCGAATCCCTTGGTCTTCAATGTCACATATGCAACATTAGCAAGACTGGCCATATTCTTTGTGGAAAACTAGGTGCACTTTTTTGTTGAATTTCTTGGAAGTTTGGTTTTGTGTGCTTTGTGACTCCCATATTTGGTGAACAGTAGTCTTTTCTTTTGCCCCTCTGATTTTCACTAAATTATGATATATTTCCTGCAAATTAACTTTAAATGCTGAAACCAGTGATGGTATACGGTATGTTCGTGGCTTACACTCCATATATTATCTTTCCCTTCATATAGTCTGATCCTTTTGTTTTCCTTGTTTTTTGCTTGTGATACAGAAAATGTGTTTTCCTCATTAGTGGGCCTGCAATTCATGTGGCAATTGATTCCTGGAATCCATGGGACACCCCATAATCTCGTTTATGTTCCTTTGAAAGATTCTCCATTGAGTGATTGCAGTGAATTTTGTGGTGACTTAGATATCCAAGTCAAGCTTGAAGAAAGTGGTGTTTTTTCGGACTTGTATGTAGTGAAAGGAATTGAAATTGGTCATGAGAATGTGCATGTTAATTTGTTAGAGCCATCTATGGATCATTTAAAAGATGAGATTGTTTTGACAGTTGCTGAAGCAATGTCTATGGATCCTCCATCACCGGTACATGTCCTTATTGGGGCAGTTGTTCATTATACACTTAAAGTCATTCGCAGTAATACTCCTCATGTAGTAAGTTTGCCATCCCAATTCCATCAGTGGTCAGTTTTGAACTCTTCAGTTGCTCAGGTGGACAGAGCTATGGGTACAGTTGAAGCCTTAAACTTAGGGATGACAACAGTTGTTGTTGAAGACACTAGGGTTGCTGGACACATGCAAATATCATCTCTTCGTGTTGTCTTACCGGATAACTTGTTGTTATTTATGTCTCCTCTAACTGCTTCTGGTGGCCACATTGATGGTATTGAGCCAATCCCCTTGGTGACAAGGTGGTATGTTGTGGTGGGTCGTTTATATCTCATTCATGTTAAGGTTTTTTCAGGACCTGGAACACAAGAAATTTTCATAACGGAAAATGATGAGATAGAGCTCCATGATAATCAGGAAGAATTCTGGGATGTTCTTCCTGTTTCTGAAGGTGCTGTGGCTAAGAGAGAATATAGGCTTCTGAAAGCAAATTCGTATGGACTGGGAAAGATTACAGCAACTCTGGCTTACATCACTGGGCATGATACAGGGAAAGAAGTTCTCAAGGTTGTTCAGGAAGTCATGGTATGTGAGCAAGTTAGGCTTAATATGGAAGGAGATGGGAGTGTCTCTAACACAATATTCCTCCCATGGGTCCCTGGTATTTATCAGGAGCTGGAGCTTAGAGCAAATGGAGGCTGTGCCATAACTTCAAGTGATTATAAGTGGTTTTCTTCAGATATGTCAGTTGTATCTGTATCTGTCTCTGGTGTTGTTCAGGCAAAAAAACCTGGAAAAGCAATTATTAGAGCGGTGTCAATCTATGATTCATTGAATTATGATGAGGTAGTCATTGAAGTTTCTATCCCTTCTTCAATGAGCATGTTGCCTGACTTCCCTGTGGAGGTGCCTGTTGGGTCATATCTTCAAGCTTCAGTGACATTGAAAGCATCAAGCGGTGTCCATTTCTATGCCTGCGATGCTTTCAGGTCCTTCATAATTTGGAAAACTGAGAGTAAGTCTTTCATAGTTGTCAATGCAACTGAGGGATCACATTTTTCAGGCAAACCAGAAGCTATCAAACTCCAATCCTTGCCTGGTGGTTCCCAATGCGCATGGACCCATATATATGCTTCCAGTGCTGGTCGTACTGTGGTTCATGCTACATTAAATAGAGAAAGTCAACAATATGACCATACTTATAGTGGACCTGTTGTCCTGAAAACATTTGCACAGATTGCTGCGTATTCACCACTTATTGTTCATCAGGCAAGTGATGGCAACCAGTTTGGTGGTTACCGGTTTGATTTGGCTGATGCTGAATCTCAAACTCAGCTCAGCAGCTTGGAGTATTTATATCTTGCACCTGGCACTCATGCTGATGTAATGGTTCAAGGGGGGCCTGAAAGGTGGGGCAAGAATGTTGAATTCATTGAAAATGTGGAAGTGTTCGATGGAGATGATTCTTATAAAAAAGGTAGAATGCTCATTCATCAAATGTCTAATAGCAACGGTAATCCATACAGAATAGGATGTGAAGGTTTTGGAACCTTTAGACTTGTTTTCAAACGTGGTAATTTGATGGGGGAAGGGCATCATTTGCCCGCTGTATCTGAGGTGCAGCTTACACTCATGTGTAATTTGCCGTCTTCCATTGCAATAGTAGCTGATGAACCTTTGAATACTGCCCCAGCAGTACAGTCTGCTGCAAAGGCTGAGCGGTTGCCAGGAAGAGTTCGAGCATCTCCAGTTACAGTTGCCAATGGACGCAGAATAAGGATATCAGCTGTTGGTCTCAGTGATACTGGAAGGGCTTTTGCTAATGCATCTTCTCTCATTGTAAGGTGGGAACTAACTGATTGTGAAGGCCTGTTGCTGTTGGATGAAGCCTACAGTTCAACAGCACCTTCCACATGGGAAAGATTTTTTATCTTGCAAAATACATCAGGACTTTGCGTTGTCCGTTCCACTGTTACTGGCTTTGTGGATTCTAAAAACCACCTTGATTCTTCCATGATAAGTTCTAATGACTTTCTCACTGATGCAATCCAGCTGCAGCTTGTTTCTTCTCTCAGAGTCAGTCCAGAGTTCAGCTTCTTGTTTTTCAGTCCTGAAGCTAGGATGAATATCAATATAACTGGAGGAAGCTGTTTATTGGACACACTGGTGAATGATACTCAGATTGTGGAAGTAATACATCAAATACCTGCTTATCAATGTTCACAGGTAATGATAGCCCCAAAAGCCCTGGGTTCTGCTCTCATTACAGTTCACGATACTGGGGTTGTTCCTCCTCTTACTGCTTCAGCCACAGTACAAGTGACTGAGATGAACTGGATTGAACTCTTAACCGGAGAACACATAAGCATCGAGGAGGGAAGTTTTCGAACTATTAATTTTTTGGTTGGGGTTGAAGGAGGGCATACTTTTGAGCCTTCCCAGTATGTTTACATGAATATTCACATTCATATCAAAGATGCCATAGTTGATGTTTCAGAGGAGCATGATTATCCTGTATTGGCTAATAGATACGTTAATGCCCCAAATTTCACTTTACGAGCATCACGTCTTGGGGAGACAGTGATATACCTCAGTGCAATTCAGCACTCTGGACGCAAAATACAGAGCCCACGTGTGACGGTGGAGGTATATGCACCTCCAAGAATACATCCCAGTGATATATTCCTCGTACCAGGAGCTTCATATGTTCTCACGGTTAGAGGAGGCCCTAAAATAAGTTCTCATATTGAGTATGCCAGTATCGATAACCAGACTGCTCAAATTCACAAGGTCTCGGGGAGAGTCTCGGCAATTTTACCAGGGAATAGCACCATAGTTGCCACCATTTATGGTGATGGTGGTATCATTCTTTGCCATGCCTATGCTATTGTCAAGGTAGGGCTTCCGTCATCAGCCATATTATATGCTCAGAGCCCGCAACTTGCCATTGGAAACAGGATGCCGATATTCCCTTCTTTGTCTGAAGGAAACTTACTATCCTTTTACGAGCTCTGTGGGAATTACATGTGGACTTTGGAAGATGAAGATGTGTTGAAATTTGTGGGAAGCAATTCACAAACTATAGCGCAAAGCTCTGTGAAAGCCCTTCAACCTTCTGATTCCCGGGGTAGCCCAGACCTTACTTTTATTCAAGTTCTTCTTGGAAAGTCTTCTGGCAGGACAAATGTTACAGTTTCATTCTCCTGTAACTACACTTTCTCTAATTCTGTCTCAAAATCTGTGTTCTACAGTGCATCTACGTCATTGTTGGTGATAGCTGATCTACCTCTTGCACTTGGATTACCCATTACTTGGGTCCTTCCCCCATACTATACTACTTCAGATCTTTTACCATTGTCCTCACATGCCAATGGGAAAGAGGATTCTCTGGGTGTCCAAGCAGTTGCTTATTCTTGGTCGGGACAGAGTGGGAGGAAGACTGATGTAGCACAAGATGATGACATGCAGATTTATGGATCCAAAATTATAACTAGGAACTCTGGCAATCTTGGTTGCATTCAGGCATCAGATAGGTCAACTGGAAGGACTGAAATTGCAACTTGTGTAAGGGTCGCTGACCTAGACCAAGTCAGAATAATGACCGAAGAATTCCCAGTCCACATACTAGCTGTTGGTGATGAGATTGATCTTCCAATAATGTATCATGACACTCTTGGAAATCCGTTCTATGAGGCACATAACATTACTCTGTTTGAAGTGGAAACGAACTATCCTGATATTTTGACAATCGGTGATAGTGATGACCGTGGGAACATCCATATTTGGGCAAAACGCCAAGGGACTGCTCTTGTTCGAGTAGCCTTTGTCCACAATCCTCAGAAATGCATCTATGCAGTGATTTCTGTGGGTCCGCAGTTGTATCCACAAAATCCAGTCATCCAGCAAGGATCTGGTATTAATTTCAATGTAAAAGGTTTAGCTGATGCACAATCTGGCCGCTGGTCTAGCACCAATGAAAGTGTTGTATTCATCGAGAGGCTATCTGGAAAAGCTGAAGCAATTGGAGAAGGTACTACTCATGTAAACTTTGAGAGTTCGGGTTTTAAGCTTTACACAACTGTTACAGTGTTGAAAGGCAGTATTCTCTCGGTCGATTCTCCCGGAGAGATACTTACAAATGTGCCATTTCCTGCAAAAGGGTATGCCTTCTCCATAAAATTTGATGGCCCTCACCGCCACTCTCATGAAGCAACTGAGAACGATGCACAGTTCTTGTTTGAGTGTTCTGTTGATCCTCCTAGTATTGGCTTTGCAAAGCCATTAAGGGATCTCACCTCTGGTAGTAATTATTGCTTGTTCTTCGCCCACTCTCCAGAGCATTTGGCTCGAGCTTTTGCCAGTTCAGGCAATGACCTACAGCATGCTTCTGTTTATGTTAAGGCTTCACTCCATGGGGACTCTCGTATATCTGGTTCTGCATCTGCACTCTTCATCGGAGGATTTACCATACTTGAAATGGACAGACACACTTTACACCTAAACCTGACTCGGGGTTCCAACAAGAGCATCCTTACCCTGGTTGGAAACACAGACATCGAACTCAACTGGCACGACAAGAGTCGCCTGTCGGTCAGGCCTATCCACAGGGAAGATGGGGAACTGGGAAAGCATGTGCAGTATGAGATTAAAGCTGACGGAGCCGAGAGTTTTAGAGATCATATTATCTTCTCTGTTCCGGCCATCCATCAGAGAGTTGAAATCAATGTCAATTACGACCCAGACGAGAGGCAAGCAGTAGTAAAACCAGGAAATATGACCATCTTGGTTGGTGTATCTGTTCTCCTCTTAGTGACAACGATTACTGTGACGTTCGTTATTTGGTACCTCGACAGACCTGATAGAGTGCAGCCCCGTGGTGCCTCCTTCAGCGCCGGTGCTAGCGTTGCTGCACCTGTCACTCCCGAGCGCAGCAGCCGCCCTGCTGCTGCGAGCGACTATTCTCCTCGGACACCACAGCCGTTCATAGACTATGTTCGGAGAACCATAGACGAAACTCCATACTACAGGCAAGACTTCAGGCGGAGAGTCAATCCCCAAAACACATTTTAGCCTCATAGGTGAAGGGGAAGGAGCAATTTGGTTCGAGTCCGATTATTTCTGTGTGGCTGGCAAGGCATAATTTTTACAATGTAAGAGCAAGTAAATCTGTGTAGGCACGTTTTGATGTAGAATTATGTATGAAAGAATGACTCTGCAGTGTTTTAGGGAATGAAAACTTGCTTGTTGTACTAGTTTTGGCTGAGAAAACTCGACGCCCCTGGCCCGGCCCCGGCCCCGGCCCCATCTGTAAAGTCGTGTTTTTCGCGCAAAGCAAATGACGAACACGCTTTCTCATTGTCAGCGGAGTTCTTTTAAAATCAGGTAAACTATATCTTTAACAGTTTCATGCACTACTATTAATTACGTTTAAAACACATTTTTTTATAAATTACAGTAATATTTTTTATTGATAATCGTGTAATTTTGATTAATAATTTGATTTGAACCATATTTATAGATGTATGATTATTATTGTTGTAATGTTGGGTTCATCTTCAGCATTATGATTGTGTATAATTTAGAAATCTATAATTACAAGTGTTGGCATGACGAATGGGTTAGCACTTAGCAAGATAGGCTCTCGGAGAAGACTTATGCTATGAATTGCATAATAATAATAATAATAATAATAATAATAATAAATGTAAATAAACATGAAAATTGATAGAATTTTTGTCCCCCTTAATGAAATTATATACACTAGTTTATATTTAACAGGTTTGCAAAAATATTTATATGGTAATGAATTTGTTATAATATGCATGCATTCGAAATTATTATTATTATTATTATTATTATTATTATAATAATATAGTAATTACTTATATGTATTGTTGGCGCGTGAGGGGAGAATTTTACACTGAGGAAAAGGGGAAGCTAACGGATACAGCACTTTGTAGTCTGTAGTTTACTACACAAAAACGAGACGAACGGAAGAAAGGAGCGTTGCAAAAGCAAGAAAGCGCGACGGTTAACGGAAAATTCTCCACTGACACTTGAAAACGAGGCTTTTGATTTCATATCGATCTGATTTTTGGCTCTTTCCATGTTAATTTCTTGATTGCGCATGCATTTAAGTAGTTTCTCGGCTGCTTTCATCGATCGTCTTGTTCTTCATTTGCGCATTGAGCCAAGGGAAAATCAAATCCTTCACCGGATTTATCATTATTAGTATTGCATCTTTTGCTGTTCCTTGTAATCTATTGATCATACGCAATAGAATTGGAAACAGAGACGGAAGTTCGTTTGCTTTCTTGCAGAAAGGATGCTTTCTTAAATCGTGACTGGAGAGTGATGAAAGAGTGTTCCGCCATTTGAGTTCTCAGATAAGGTCAGGACGTGTTTTCTTTTTCCGTGGTATTAATCTTTCTTTTCTTTTTACTTGGTTTCGTTCTGTGTTCTAATAAGGTCGAGAAGAAGTATTTGAGACATTGATTGAATTTTGGATTTCATTCCTTATGTTTGCTATCTATAGGAACATACGAAATCAACATTATTAGTGTTTTCATATGTTCTGGATTCTTCATGAACCCGAGTCATCTTTGTTTCCTTTTCTTGTGAGAATATATATAACTTTCTTCTGTCTCAATTGTTTTCTTGAAGAACAAAAGAACTAGGTGTAGTTTAAATTCTGCTGCATTTAAGGGCGATACATTGCAGTAACTATGCAGTAGGGCCTTGATAGAATCACTTGTTGGTGGTGTTGTTTCCTTGCAGATGAATTCTAATGTTGACAACGATTGCACTTCTATCGCTGGTTCAAGTCGTCCGCCCAAACCTCTGTCTATAAAACAGTTCAGATATGATGGACTTTCATCTCAAGATCATCCCATGAAAATCTCCTACGCCCCATCTAGCCATGGCTCCATGATCGTTTCAAAACATGCCTATCAAACATCCCGTTTTATAATGCACAGAGACAGAGATAACACCAGACCGGACAAAGGAAAAGAAGAGCTTCACACAGCCAGTAATGGAGATTGTCGAGTGAAGGAACACAACTCTCTTGTGACATCCAATTGCAATGCTAATCTACAGCATCCAAGCGGCAATGCTAATCTACAGCATCCAGGTGGCAATGCTGATTATTGCAGTTCCAATGAGCGCTCAGAATCTATGAGCTTTTTTTCATTCCCAAATGAAGCCTCTATTGATGTATTAAATGCCCAGTTACAGCCTAGATCAGTTGCGAGCTGTTTTTCGAGCCCTCAAGATAGTTTTTACACAGCCACACAGTTCTCAGAAGCTAAGCAAAGCCTCTCTAATGCTGAAGAGACTGAAAATGGGAGTAATGCATTCAAGACTGGTGCGAGTGGCGAAATTAACAACTCATGTGACTTTACTGAGAAAGTCAGTATTGACAGTGATGTTAGCAACGGTAGTGGCTCCCCGGGTTTAGGCAGTCCTATGCACAAACGACACAGGGGGGCTGATCACAGGTGGGAAGCAATCCAAGCCGTGAGAGCACAAAACAGTGGTGCATTGGAGTTGAAAAATTTCAAGATTTTTAAGAGATTGGGACGTGGAGATATAGGCACCGTTCATCTGGCAGAGTTGGTGGGCACTGGAACATTTTTTGCCATAAAAGTGATGGATAAAGGAACTCTAGAGGGTCGGAAGAAGATCACCCGAGCTCAGACAGAAAGAGAGATTCTACAAACTCTGGATCACCCTTTTCTTCCAACTTTATATGCACATTTTGAGACAGATAATCTGTCTTTCCTAGTGATGGAGTTCTGCCCTGGCGGTGATTTGCACGCACTGCGACAGAAACAACCTGGGAAGTTCTTCCCGGAGCATGCTGCAAGGTAGATAGTACTGATCTATCAGCTTTAACCTCTGATTTTTGTGAAAAAGCTATTACTATATCTTTTAGGTATTAAAGAACTTAGAGGAGTAGAACCTTAAGTTGATCTCATATCTTAGTTTTGTAAAAGGAAGAACATGCTCTCTTGTTGCTATTTCCTATCAATTGAAGGCAGTGTGTGACGGCGCTATGCTGCTTATCTTTCAGGTTTTATCTCGCCGAGGTTCTCCTGGCCTTAGAATACTTGCACATGCTTGGGATTGTCTACAGAGATCTCAAACCCGAAAACATTCTGGTGAGGGAAGACGGGCATATAATGCTTTCAGATTTTGACCTTTCCTTGAGGTGCACTGTCCATCCCACCTTAGTCAAGTCTGCCAATCAAACCATGGGGAAAAAGAATTCGCGATACTGCATTCAGCCGTCATGCATCGAGCCGTCATGCACTGTCTATCCAGCCTGCATCCAACCAACCTGTTTCAGCCCGCGCCTTCTTGGAAACAACCCCAAGAAAGAAAGGAAGCCAAGACCCAAACCAGAAACATACAGCCAAGGCAACCCTCTCCCTGAACTGATAGTCGAGCCCACAAATGCCCGATCCATGTCATTTGTAGGCACACATGAGTATCTAGCACCAGAAATCATCAAGGGCGAAGGCCACGGCAGCGCAGTGGATTGGTGGACATTCGGCATCTTCCTCTACGAACTTCTTTTTGGTAAAACACCCTTCAAGGGGATAGGAAACCGCGCCACCTTGTACAATGTCGTCGGACAGCCTCTGAGGTTCCCGGAAACTCCCACAGTCAGCTTTGCCGCGAGGGACCTTATCAGAGGATTACTAGTGAAAGAACCTCAACACCGCCTTGCATACAGGCGAGGCGCGACAGAGATCAAGCAGCACCCATTTTTTCAGAGCGTGAACTGGGCACTCATACGGTGCGCCAGTCCTCCGGAGGTCCCCCCGCCGTTTACCCTCGAGGACGCCAGAGAACCTTCGCCGGATTCCGGGAAGGCGCCATGCTGCGAGGCAGAGCGTTCCGGTAATTTCTATGAGATGGATTGCTTCTAGTGATTGAAGGTAGGATGATCTGATGATCATTTTTGTGTGTGTTTGCTGAGATAGTTCCTTCCATCATTATCTTTGAGTGAATTTTATTGGATTGGAAGGACTATGAATTTGTGTTGTTCATATCATGTTCATGTTCATATGCTGATGTTCATGTTCATGTTCAACTCCCCTTTGTTGAACACAAGTGTGTGTATATTGTTGCATTTGATTAACCTTTTTCTTTTTTCTTTTTCCGGATGAATAATAATAATGCATGGATATTGTGTAGTCCGGCCCGGTTCCTTACCCCCTCTTTTCAGCCCCTAGTGATATAATCACTTTCACCTTTTTTTTTTTTTTTTTTTTTTTTTTTTTTTTTCTCTCTCTCCCTCTTAAATTTACTATGTCACTAATTTTTGGTAAAATTAAATATTTAATTGATTACAGTTCATTCACTATTTATTTATCCTAATTGTCATTTTTTAATTCTTATTTTTTAATAAAATATATATATGTATTTTTTAATGTTCGCGTCCACTCCAAATATAGTAATTTTTGCCAAGGGAGTGAATATTTACTATAAGTGCGTTAGAGTGGAAATCATCGTAATCTTATTTATATACTATAGGTGCGATAGAGTGGAGGTCAACATAATCTTATTTATATACTATATGTGTTTGACTCCTAATACTATAATTTACTCCATTTAATAAAATATTTAAATTATTCTTTCAATTAAAAATTATTTTATATAAATATAATAATAATACTTTTTTATTATTATTATTATTTTTTTGTGTCATATCTATTTATATATTTTATTGAATGTAGATTTTAATATATTAGTATTTAAGAGGTGATAGTAGAATTGAAAAAAATAAGAAGACAGTTTTTGTAAAATTATGCAAAATGTATATTTATTTATTTATTTATTTTTTAATCACAAATGGCAAAATGGCAAAACTTTAATCAATAAAATATAAATTGAGAAGAATGATATAAAAATATATTGCTAAAAACGTAATTTATAATTTTAAAGATAAATTAATTACTCTTTAATAAATACTAAAATATTCCCTCCGTTACTTAACAATTTATTCATTTTTTCATTTTCGTTCGTCCCATAACAATATATCAATTTCATTTTTTAGTAATTATACTGTGTACTAACATTACAAATATCTTTTCAATTTACCTTTATTTTTACTATATCTCATTATAATATTAATATTTTTAAAACTGCATGCAATAAATTAAATAGATATATAGATATGGGACGTACGGAATATAAAATTATATATATTTTATAGCAATATCAAAATTAAATTTTAATATATTGCTATAATTAAAAAATATAAATATAAAAAAATAAAATATATTGTATTTATAATAAGATTAGGAATGATATTTTGAATAAAAAATAATCATATCAAAATAACTAACCAAAGTTAATAAAATACTATAATTTTATCTAATATTTAATAACACAAAATAAATATTATATTAATTAATATATTGATGATATAATCTATTAGTTCTTCAAATAAACACATTCTATGTGTATATATATATATATATATTATATGTGTATTAGAAGGGACGAGGGGTTGGCAGGGAAGGAAACCGGTGATCTGCTAATATTAGTTTAATTGATCGTACATTTGATTAGACCATCTCCAACTCATTCTTTCGTTTTTGCAGTAGCTACATAAAAATATAGTTGATTTATAGTAATTTTAATTCAACCATAAACTTCAATTTTTCACTCTAAAAAGTATATTTCATATATATTCCTCTTTTATATTATTTTAAATAACTTTTTATATTTATAAATTACACCATAACTTTAATTTATTTTTACAATATAACACAAATATATATAATTACACATTATTGTTAAAAAACCTATATAATTATATATCACTATTCGAAAGGTAAAATTATATATCATTTTAAAAAAATAATAAAATTATACATTATTTTTAAAAAATAAAATTATATCACTTTTCAAAAAATAAAATTATACATAATTTTTCAAAAAATTATAATTACACAATACATCCCAAAAAATAACAAAAATACACAAATACCACAAAACACCACACAAACTCCACTCCACAGTATTACTCCATATTGGAGTAACACTACAGCGGGCTGAAAAAATGGGGGGAATTTAGGGGTGGGTTGGAGCCCTCCAATTTTTGCACAACCCACTACATTTATGCAGTGGGTTGGAGTTGTCCTTACAGTTCTATAATGTAAATTTCAATGACTAAGAATTGCCTTTATTCTTTGGAAGATCAACCTCGTGTCTGGTACCAGTGACGGAACCAGCCTTGCGGCTTTGGGGGGCAAAATTGTTATATTTATTTTTAGTTTCAACTTATTTTGAGCCTTTTTTTTTATTTGAAACGTTGTTTCTGTATGTACAAAAAATAATATAAGAATTTTCTCGTCAATTTTATTAACACTACAATGTGGCTGTAAAGAAGAAAAAAAATGAAAGGAACAATATTTAAGATGAAATATTTTATTTTTTTATATAATAAATTTATAAATAAAAATATTATATATTATTATAAATTAAAATAATAATGATAATAATGATAATAATAATAATAATAATAATAATATGGAGATTTACGACGGGTGTGTTTGTTTGAGGGTTTGGATTTTGAGTTGGAATTTGAATAGTAAAAATTTTGAATTTGAATAGTTGTATGATGTGATATAAATAGGTGTTGATGTGATATTTTGAATGTAAAATTGATTTTTAGTATAATATAAAAAAATGAAAAATATGTGTTTGATTTGATATTTTTTGGGGAAAAAAATTGGATGAATAGTGTAAATCAAATCCAATCCCCAAACAAAATATTAAGGGCTTGGAGGGTCAATGGAACATGCAGTATTCGACAAAATCTTCAAACAATTCTCTTTAAGCTTATTCTCTTTTGTTTCACAATTAGTAAATTGGATTTATTGCCATTACCCCGATTTTTTGACAATGACTCGATGCACTTCTTTTCACACTATTTCGAAAAGGATGAGCTTCGAGTTACACCAATACCCAACCAAAAAGCGATTGTGGTACCAATAAAAAAGACGATTGTTGCTACTGAAAAACGAAATGAATTTTAAAGGTCTTAACTGAGCATATAAAACAAAAAAATATTTGATCAGCTTCGTAATGCTCAACCAGCGGCGGAGCCAGAATGTTCGGATCAAGGGGCCGAAAAAAAGGTCGGAGGAGAATATCTGAAATAGAAAAAGTTATAATCTTTTAAGCATTATATGCATATATATATATATATATTTGATCATATTATATAATAATATAAATTAAATTAAACATAATTATAAGTGTGTAAAAATTTATTGTATAATAAAAATATATTTTATCAAGTTTTAGTAAAAAAAAATTATTATAACTTTTTATTAAAAATATTTGTAAGCGACAAAAAAATAAATACTTCATCCGTCCTATCTTGATTACATATTTTTAATTTTTATCTTACTCGTAATAATTTAAATCTTTTTTTTTGGATAAAATTTATTAAATCAAAATATATTTAAAAAATATAAATCAACTTAATTAACTATATAATATATAACATACCCCATATAAGACCAACTCAAATCTCTTTCATTTTTATCTCTTTTAAAAAATAAATATTTTTATCTACGCGTGTGTTCTTTTAACAAAAAAAAACCAAACACAAATTTTCTCAATAATATTAATATATCATACACATTCATTACTTTTATATTTCCGAAGTAATCCCTTTAAATTATTTTACAAAAATGATTCCTCCTCGAATACCTTCCCGTCGGCCTTGCGATTCTTCGACTCCCTCGAGAACTCGCTAATATAACCTCACACACAACTCTAACGCACGCTAAAAGTAAGAACGACAAAATAGAGTGTTTTTATTGATTCTCAAAACTGAAGTGAAATACAAGTGAGGACTCTTCCTCCGTATATATAGATACTTAAACGGACCGGGCCTAATATGGGCCAAATCAAATTCACACCCGGATACGCTATAACAAAAAAGAAAAAACTAAGAGAAGAATGAAAATAGAAGAAAAGAAAAAAAAATGATGTCCTTGTTATTAAACAATATAAATTATAAATTAGGTAAGTAATATAAAAATACTAATGTGGGTAATATTTTAGTTTTTTTATTATATATAATTTTAGAAAAATATGTATTTTATAGAAAAAACACACTCTAAAATTTTCAAATTCTATATTTTATATTTTTAGAATTGATTATTGCTTTAATATTAAATCTAAATCAAAATGCCCTCAAATCGAAAGAAGCACAGCTTTAATCTAAGCAGACTTGAGGTGAGTTTGACAATCAGCTAATAGATTTTAGTTGTTAGCTGATTCAGTTAGCTGGTTTGATTAACTGATTCAATTAGATGGTTGACTAGCTGATTCAATTAGATGGGTTGACTCAACTATCTATTTGTATTAAAGTGTTTGGTAAAATAACTGTTTGATATTAGCTATGTAAAATGACAATGGAAGATATTTATATTTTAACTTAAAAAAAAATTTAAATTGTGTTTTTTTAGTTTTAAAAATTTTAAAATTTTTACTATTAGTTATTTGAAATTACAAATGTGTTATAAAATATTTTTTAATTAATTATAGATTAAAAAAATAATAGTATATATTTTTATTAAGAAATATGAATATTTTTTATTAAGAATAATGTAAACTATAAAATAATAAATTTTTGGTATATATATTTATTATATTAATTATTTATTAATTTATTAGTATATTTAGAATTTTTAATAAATTTATTCTATTTTATTTAATTTTAATACTATAAAATTAAAATAATAATAAAAGCATAATTATAATTTACAAATAAAATTAGTTATATATAAAAATTAATTAATTTAAATTTATAAAAATAAAATTATAATTTAATAAATAAAATATTAAAATTATTTATAATTACTGCAGTATAAAATATATTTATATATATGTAAAATAAATGATAATATTTTAAGAATAAATAAGAAATAAATAAAATTAAAATATTTTTTTAAAAAATATTAATTTATATAATTTTTTAGAAATTAATTTTTTTAAAATTAATAAATTATTTCAAAAAATTAATTTATCAAATATTTTTTACTAATCAAATCGTTAAAAGCTCTTAAATAAACTAAAGCTCTTTAAAAAGGTGTTCCATACAGCGTCTTGGACTCGCTTCAGAATGAATTCATCATGGACTTGTATAACTGTATACCGCACGATCCGCACCGCATTTTTATATATATATATATATCAATACTTAAAGCGGTTTTCTGTGCACCAAAAACCTTGTGTAAACCTTCTGGTTTGTTGAGCTTTCTGTTGTTTTGCGCATCATCGCTTCACCATGCCTGGAGAATTGAGGGACGAATTCGACAAGGATGCCCGACGGATGAAGCAGGAACTAGCCAGGAACTTTGTTGCTTCTATCGGAGGAATGGAGGAGGAATCCCCCAAGGACGGAAGATCGAAGGACGTAGCTGCCTTGGTCGGAGGAACGCAGAATGTATCCACCGAGAACGCAGAATCGAAGGATCTAGCTGACTTGGTCGGAGGGACGAAGAACATATCCACCGAGAAAGGAGAATTGAAGGATGTAGCTGCTTTGGTCGGAGGAACGAAGAACGTATCCACCGAGAACGAAGAACTGAAGGACGTAGCTGCCTCGGTCGGAGGAACGGAGAGCGAATCCACCGAGAGCGGAGGATCGAAGGACGCAGCTGCCTCGGTCGGAGGAACAGAGAGCGGAGGATCGAAGGGCGTAACTGGCTGGGTCAGAAGAACGGAGAGAGGAGGGTTGACGGATGTATTCTCTGAGGAGGGAAAAGAGGAGGACGAATCAAGCCTGTACGGCTTCGAGCGAGAGGAAATGTATAAAATCCAACTTGAGGGAACGGTTAGACCTTACCAGCGCCACTTCTTCCTTTGTCACAGGACTTATGACACCTGGCCGGTATGGTTCAATCAGAAGTCGGCCGATCTGCTCCCTCAGTTGTTTACCAATGAGCACCTAATGGCCCTAAGTAAGGCTCCTATGGAGGTCAGTAATCACTATTCACAGGCGGATTGAATCAATGCGGATATGATATATATATATATATATATTATGCATTAGTTTCTAGCAAGGAATAATGACTTAGGCACTTGATGATTTTTATTTTCTAATTCTGAATAATATAGTATCATTGTATGGCTGCAGAACCGCCTGACTATATGCGAGAGAAACAAATTTGCGAGGATCTACGATGGAGATGTCCTCATATTTCCTGACATGCACGTATACAGGTCTGACCTCAAAATTGTCTGCTATCAGCACTAGCTGTTCCATATTAGCTTGATTATGATAATACCCAGTGTCAATTGTCATGATCTGCTTCGGGTTGCCTTTTGACTTTTGAGAACTTAACATGGTAATAGAGCAAATTCAGTTATGAACTTGTTTATGACAGTGCCTGTATTATGATCTGCTTCGGGTTGCCTTTTGAGAGCTTGAAATGTTAACAGAGCCAATCCAGCTGTAGGATTAATGCTTTTTTATGTGTATTTTAGTTCCTTCATACCATCGTTAAGCACTAAATTATAAGAGTAGCTGCTCTACAGTTTGCACTTGGTTCAATTCTTTTTCAATGGTTGCTTCTTTTGACAACACGAATATATTCACTACCACTTTCGTTTTTATTTTTCATTTCAGAATATTTAAGGGTGCCTAAGTGTCTTATCTTGATTACTGATGATATGTGGTTTCTCCTTTTGAATACGTAGGCGCATGAAACCCGCACAAATCAGAGGATTTGTAGATGAAGTGATGATTAGGGGCAAGAGGTGGTCATCTGGGGAGTTGGAAGAGTTGACTGGTTCATATATCTTTATATGTGCTCATAAATTTCGAGATAGAAGATGTGGTGCTTGTGGCCCAGCATTGATAAAGAAGTTCAACCAAGTGATTGAAGCCAAGGATTTGAAACGTAAGGTGTTTGTGATGGGCTGTTCACACACAGGAGGAAACAGGAATTCAGGCAGCTTTGCAGGCAATGTGATTATTTTCAGTCGTGATTCCAAGGGAAAGATTGCTGGCAATTGGTGAGACCAAGATTTCTATGGCTTGCTATATTTTATTATCCTTCTGCAGACACTATTTCTTTTATTTTTAATTACAGTATATATATAAGTTTTTATAGATTCATGTTAGGTATTTGATAACACCATAATATGCACTCATGCTCTGTAATTCTGGAAACATACATACATTTGTGCTCTCTTTTTGTGCAAGGATTGATCATGGATGACTAGTTCTTGCTCTAATTATGCAGGTATGGATACGTTACGCCTAAGGATGTTCTTGAATTAGTTGAGAAACAGATCATAAAGGGTGAAATCGTTGAGAGGCTTTGGAGGTTTAGCGATTCTCTCCGACTATATATTTTCTCCTTCCCTTCTTATCTTAGATTGATAATTGAGATTACATGCATTGCATCAAATCAGGGGCCAAATGGACACCACTACCAGCAAATATGATTACTCAAGTGAGGCCTTACTTGATAGCCACAACCCACCAAAAAGAAACACCTCCTGGATTCCGACTATTTTGTTGGGCATCATTTCAGCTGCTACGATTGCTTATGGCATCTACCGAAGGAGGTGAAGCTTTCTTTAATCTCTTTGCCGTGCTTACATTTTACAATAAAGAAAGAGCTATAGTAAATACTAATAATAGTACAAGTAAGTAGTCATGAGTCTTGACCGTTGGCAAGATTGATCTCATTAGAAGTTTCATTACTCTGTTTTTTTTTAGCCTCTTGACATTGATAATGCAGATGCATAAGGAGGGCAATTGCAGTTTTTGCAATGTATGCTTCTCAAGATTTTGAGCATATAAATACACTAGTGAGTTCTCCATTTTGGCAATGAAACTTTAAACCCTATATATGTTAATACTAATACAATCCTAGAATAGGATATGTGCCTACAATATATTGTTCTATTTAGTCTTAATAGTTAGGTTGGATCTATATAACCACCCCCTAGACCATCAATATTATGTCATGATCATGATATTTACCTTTGAATCTTTTTCAATCTTATAGTATGGGCCTGTTTCTTTGAGGTTTGGACCTTCTTTGGAAGGTTGAATTTTTAATTTAAATAATACTGATATTTTGATGTATTTTCAAGAAATATAAATTTCAAAATAATTAAAGATTGAATAGTACCATAAAAAAATAAAACACCCTTTTCATCTTCTCCCAATCTTGTACTAAGATATTGTATGGAAAAGGTCCTATCCATATAAGGTTAATGACAACCTTCTCTTTGTTTGGATTATCTAGGCTTATTTTTGAAACACAAACAATTATGAAGATAGTTTTTACAGTTCGAGTTACCATATATTTTTTACTTAAAAAGTAAATATATATATATATTTTTGTATAAAATGTAGTACTCCCTCCGTCGTTGAAATTTATTCTCACTTTTCTTTTTTGATTGTCATCCAAATTTATACCCATTTCTTTTTTTAGTAAAAAAATACCACTTTTCTTTACAAAAAAAAAAAAAAAATAAACATTTTTATTCTTACATATTTTTCTTAAAATCCGTGTCCGGTCAAATAAACACATAATTGGATGACGGAGGAAGTATTTTCTTTAGCCGAGTTTTCCCAAATTTTACTATTTGAACACTGCGTTTTTTGAAAAAAAAATATATTTTTTCCCTCAGAAGACATATCATCAAACATTATTTTCAAACCAAACCCAAATCAATTTTTTCTAAATCAATTTTTTCCAAACTCATTCAAAGAAACACACCCTGAATATACATTTATTTTTTTGGCACTAAGTTTAAAAAATAATAATATTTTAATTTAGTTAAAAGTAATGTAAAAATAATTTTGTTCTTTTTTAATTGTAAAAGTAATAATGTGAAAATAAGTAGAGATATTTATGAAAAAAAATTGATATTCAATAAAATTGTTAGTCGGATAATTCAAAATAAAAATATGTATATTTTAGTCTGATGGAGTAAATATAATATTTTTAATGATAGCCGATAGTTTTAGTATGTAAACACTATTTTACATTATAAAATTAATAGAAAGTATCTATATAAATAAGTATAATACATTGTAGGAAATGAGAATGTTAATGGTAATGTTAGGTATACATATAAGCATATTTATTCAAGAAAAAGATTTGGGGTCCGTTTCGCAATTAATTGATAGCTATTAGCTGATTCATTTGGCTGGTTTGACTAGTTGATTCAATTAGCAGTGTTTGTTAAAATAACTATTTGACATTGGCTGTTTATACATGAAATAACTATTAAGGACATTGATATGTTATTTTTTTAAATATTTAATTTTGTTCATTTTAATTTGAAATTTATGAGAATTTTTATTATTAATTATTGAAAATTATAAGAATGTTATAAAATATTTATTTTTATTTTTATTATTTAGATTTTGAGAAAATTATTTTTACTAATAATAATTTTTTATTGAAATTATGTAAAATATAAAATAATAAATCTTTAGTATATATATTTATATTATGTTAATTATTATTTTAATATACTTTCTCCGTTTTATAACAAAGTATCTATTTTTCCATTTTAGTCCGTCCCATAACAAAATATTTTTTTTTTTTTTTAGTAACTGTATTATCTACCTAACATTACAAATATCCTTATAATTTACAATATATTACAAAAATGTCATTACCTTTATATCACACGTACTAATAAGATTATTTTAGTCATTTCTACTTTTATTCTTACTATATCCCAATATAATAATTAATATTTCTAAAACTACGTGAAAAAAACAAATTGATATTCTTGATTTAGTTTTAGAAATTTATATTATATTTTATAAATAAAATAATTTATATGTAATAATTAATAATAGTAATTATTTTAAATTTACAAAAATAAAAATATAATTTAATAAATTAAATATATTAAAAATAATTAATAAATATTGCTATAAAAATATTTATATGTATAATAGAAATAATTAAGTTTTAAGGGTAAATAATAAATAACCAAAATTAAAATAAAAAACTCTTTCAAAACGTTGGTTAGATGAGCTTTTCAGAAATTAGCTTTTTGAGTCCAAAAAGCTCTTTAAAAAAAATTAATTACCAAACACCTAAATTAGTTTTTTTACTGATCAAAGGCTAAAAGGTTGTTCAATAAGCTAAAAGCTTTTCAAAAATTTATTTCCGAAACACCCTCTTGAAATATATAATATGATAAATGGATTTTATTTCAAAGATATTAATAAAATAGTTACAAATAAAAAAATAAGTAAATATTCCCTGTCATATGGAATTAGTCCAATTTTTATTCAGTTTTAAGGAGTATTGAATTATATAGTTAATTAATTTTATTTACTTTATGTAATATATTTACGATATAGTATTATACTCCCTTCGTTTCAAACAAGATACAACATTTGTTTTTGGTACGAGTTTTTAGGTGGGTAGTATTAAGTAGGATAATTTAGAAATTAGGCGATATAACGGAGAGAGAAATATATATTTTATTTTTTTTATTTGTATGATATGAGTGGATAAAAATATAATTAATTATTTTCTATTTTGGAAATGTTCCAGAGTGTTTGAGACATACCAAAAAGAAAATATTGTAAGGTGTTTGAGACGGATGAAGTATTATTTATTTTTAATTGGGTAAAGAAAAAATATTTATTTAAATTTTTTTATATTGAATATTTTATGTATTGATTTAATTTTTAAAAATACGATACAAATTATAAATTAATACAAACAATTAAATAATAAAAGTAATTAAAGTAATTTTAAAAATTCAAAAGCAATTAATATTGAAGACAATGTGCAATCATAAAATTTTTAATTTAAAAAACATTTTACATAAAATTCCCCAATTTTCTTACTCATAAAAGTATTTTAACTAATTTCCACTCGTACTGTCCGTTTGGATTGGTTTAAAAAATAAGCAGAAGTAAAAACACAAGCAGAAGCAGTTTAATTTTGTATTTGGATAAATCATTATAAAAGCAGTTTTTCGTAAAAAACTGTTTGGACGTTATATAGTTGAAAGTGTTTTTAAACTGTTAAAATTATTTAAAAGGACATGCGGTTAATATTAGTATTTTTTTTATAACATTTTTATAATTTCATTTAAAATTTATAAATTATATTTAAAGATTTTAAATTAAAGTATAAAAAATGTACTTTTAAATTTTGATTATTTTTATTTTAAAATTCTAATTTAAGGATAATATATCAATTAAACATAAAATTACAGTATAATATTATATAATTTATATTTTATAATTTATTATAAAATTTTATAAATTATTTTTAGTAATTTAAGTATAATTAAAAAATTTATATACTCCTATTTACATTCGGTATTTAAATTTTAAATTTTAATCCAAATATAGTACATAAATTAAAAATAATAAATTAATTATATTTTTTAAATTTGTATTAAAATATAATATATAAGTTATTTATTTTTATATTATACTCCCTGTCCCACATACCATGTCCACGTTACCGTTTCTGTCTGTCCCACACATACGATGTCACTTTTCTTTTTTGAAAATATTATACACTTTAATTTCATTTTAAACTTTTTAATTTATTTTTTTAAATTTTAATTAAACTAAGTTATCTTAATCTTAATTTATAATTATTTATATTATAGGATAATTATTTTCATTAATACTATTATATTATTGTATTTATTATTATTATTATTATTATTATTAAGAATTCTGATAAAAACACTTTTCAGCTTCAAAAGCTGCTTTTGCTTTTGGACAGAAGCCAATGCAAATAGGTGCAAACTGTTTTTTTTTATAAGTAGAAGCCAAAAGCTCATGCAGAAGCTAATCCAAACCGGGCCTAAGTCATAAATGTCATGAACATTTATTTTATTTTATTTTGAAAAAGAAAATTAATTTAAATTCAAATCAAACTGTTTATTAATTTTTTCTAACTAAAATATTAACTTAAACACTTGTTTCTATTTTTTAATGGTACGACCAAAATTGATTAAAATTGTTTATAATAAGATCAAAATTAATTAAAATTGTTTATAATGAGATCGAAATTGATTGAAATTGATTATAATGAGATTAAAATTGATGAGTTTTTTTATATTGGGACCAAAATTATCATTAAGACTAAAAAATAATGATATTTTAATATCGAAGTAATATAGATTAAAAAAAAATAAAGTGAGAATATTATGATAAAAATTTGTGTAAATGATTGAAAAAAATTAGTGGAATAACTAAAAAAAATGACAATTTGATTATTATATGTTAAAATAAGAATAATAAAATTATAAGAAAGATAAAATTATTTACTATAAATAGATTCTATATAAATTAATGGATAAAAAATTATATAATTTTGGCGTACAATTGAAGTATTATGTTATATTATTATTTGTTTGATAGTCTTTTGTATATCAAATTCTAAATTAAAATAATTATTTAATTTGATATAAATAAGTTAAACTGATATTTTCAAGTGAAAAAAATGTAATTATATTTTATAAAAATATATATATTTTTATAATTTTTTTGGGGAAAAACTTCGATTATATTTTAATACTCCATTTGTCTCGAATATGACGTTATCATAATTGTAAATACAAAAATTTAGGAGAGATGCGATTAATAAATAATTAAGAATGTATTAATAAAATAAATTACAATATGATACAAATAATTATAAATTAAAACAACTAATTAGTCTAATTAAAATTAAATAAATTATAAATTATAAAATTTAAAATGTAATTAAAATTTATAATTCTTTTCAATACAACTAATTAGTCTAATTAAAATTAAATAAATTATAAAATTTAAAATGCAATTAAAATTTGTAATTCTTTTCAATGAGATCTAGGACAAGTAGAAATAGAAACCGTAATGTTATGGGTGTGTTTGTTTGAAGGATTTTGGTGGATTTCCACTATTCATCCAATTTTTTCCCCCCAAAAATATCAAATCAAACACCTATTTTTCATTTTTTATATTATACTAAAAATCAATTTTACATTCAAAACATCACATCAAACCCTATTTATATCACATCATACAATTATTCAAATTCAAAATTTTTACTATTCAAATCCCAACTCAAAATCCAAACCCCCAAACAAACACACCCATGTAAGACCAAATAAATAGTAATTTTTTATAACTTTGTATGTAAATATTATTTTGTCACTGTTAGGGATGGAAATAGGTCAGACTTTGGCTAAATAAATCTGGTATGTTTTAAAAATATCTGGCCTAAGTCTGGTTGTAAGCCTGAAATATTTTTTTTAAAAGCTTGAGCCTAACCTTTTTAAATGGCTGGTCTCGCCTACAAGTTTATTTACATCTATAATTATACATGGTCCGTATACTTTCTAGGTCAACTGTCACGTCACATCCGTCGTGTCCATGTCAGCAATTTCTGTTAGTTTTTAACGGTGAGACCAAAATTGATTGAAATTGTTTATAATGGGACCAAAATTGATTGAAATTGTTTATACTATGACTAAAATTGATGAGTTTTTTATATTATGACCAAAATTGATAAATTTTTGTTATATTGAGACCAAAATTGATTTTTTTTCTAAATAAATATATATTTTTTATTCATTTGTATTATATAAAATTTTATTGTCTACGAAATGATACCTATATTGCAAGAATTTTATTGAGATATAATTATAAAAATATTTAAAACACCAACAACATTACACATATAAAAAATAATAAAATATTATCTTAACTTATTATTAATAACTTAATAACCTACCTTACCTAAAATACCGTCTCACTAACAAAAAGTTTCATCTTCCTGGAGACAACAGAGGAAGTATAAAAATAACAATTTATGTAATATATTAATTTTTTATTGAAATTATATTTTTGGAGAAATATATATTTTATAGAAAAAATACACCCTTAAATTTTTAAATTCTATATTTTATATTGACAAATTTTTTCAAATTTTATTATTTAAATTTTACATTTTCTAAAAAGTACTTTTTAATCTTACAAAAACAACCCATCGAATATTGTTTTAACAACAATACCAAACCAAAAGTTTTCTAACTGCAAAAGTAACACACACTAATCTAACCAAGACTTGGTCTCACATTCCATCATGGACTTGTATAACTGTATACCGCACGATCCGCACCGCATTTTTATATATATATATAAAGCGGTTTTCTGTGCACCAAAAACCTTGTGTAAACCTTCTGGTTTGTTGAGCATTCTGTTGTTTTGCGCATCATCGCTTCACCATGCCTGGAGAATTGAGGGGCGAATTCGCCAAGGATGCCCGACGGATGAAGCAGGAACTAGCCAGGAACTTTGTTGCTTCAATCGGAGGAATGGAGGAGGAATCCACCAAGGACGGAGGAAAGAAGGATTTATCCACCGGGAACTTACAATTGAAGGATGTACCTGCTTTGTTCGGAGGAATGAAGAACGTATACACCGAGAACGGAGGATCGATGGACGTAGCTGCCTTGGTCGGAGGAACGGAGAGAGAAGGATTGGAGGATGTCACTGAGGAGGACGAAGTAATCCTGTACAGCTTCGAGCGAGCGGAAATGTATAAATTCGAACTTGCAGGAACGGTTATTCCTTACCCGCGCCACTTTTTCCTTTGCCACTGGACTGGCAGCTGGCCGGCACAGTTAGATGAGGAGTCGGCCTGTCAGCTCCCTAAGCTTTTTACCAGGGAGCACAAAAGGGCCCTGGGAAAGGCTTCTAAACCGGTGGTGATGATATACTATAACAATTACTCCTATATAATCAATAATGACGACCTAGGCTAGGCACTTGATGATTTTTAATTATTTTCCAATTCTGAATATAGTATCATTGTATTATATAGCTGCAGAGCCGGCTGACTATATGCCAGCAAAACGAAGATGCGAGGTTCTCCAATGGAGATGTCCTCGTATTTCCAGACATGCACGTATACAGGTCTCACCTCAAAATTGTCTACGATCAGAAATAACTACTGTTCCATATGAACTTGTTTATGATTAAGATCTAACAGAGCAAATTCAGTTATGAACTTGTTTATGATCTGCTTCGGGTTGCCTTTTGGGAGCTTAAAATGTTAACAGAGCAAAGGATTACTGCTTTTCATGTGTCCTTCATACCATCGTTAAGCACTAAATTATAAGAGTAGCTGTTATTTCAGACTATTTAAGCGTGCCTAACTGTCTTATTTATCTTGATTATTACTGGTGACATATATGTGATTTCTGGTTTCCAATATGTAGGCGCCTGAGGCTGAAACCCCCAGAAGTCAGAGAATTTGTAGAACAAGTGATGGTTAGGGGGGAGAGGTGGTTGTCAACTGGGTCTTTGGAAGTGTTGACTGGTTCATATATCTTTGTATGTGTTCATAAACTTCGAGATAGAAGATGTGGATCTTGTGGCCCACCATTGATAAAAGAGTTCAACCAAGTGATTGAAGCCAAGGATTTGAAACATAAGGTGTTTGTGACGGGCTGCACACACATAGGAGGAATCAACAATTCATGCTGCTTTGCAGGCAATGTGATTATTTTCAGTCGTGATTCCAAGGGAAAGGTTGCTGGCAATTGGTGAGACCAAGATTTCTATATTTTTATTACCCTTGTTTGTGCAGACAATAATAATAATATTTCCTTTATTTTTCATTACAGTGTATGTGGATTCATGTTAGGTATATTTGATGACACCATATATATAATATGCGTTCATGGTCTGTTATTAGGATTGATCGATCATAGATGACTAGTTCTTGCTCTAATTATGCAGGTATGGATACGTTACGCCCGAGGATGTTCATGAATTAGTCGAGAAAGAGATCTTAAAGGGTGAAGTCGTTGAGAGGCTTTGGAGGTATATCAATAATTATATTCTCTGTGACTATATATACTATATCTTCTCCTCTGCTCTCCTTCTTATATGAGTATCTTAGATTGATTGATAACTCAGATTACATTACATTACATAGATGCATTATTAATTTCTAAGTTATTAAATCAGGGGCCAATTGGATGCTACTAGTGGCAACTCTCTAGTGTCCTTATATGATGACCGGAGCCCAGTACCAATTACGGTTAGAGCTAAAGCTGAAGCTGAAGCTAAAGCAAAAAGAGATGCCGCCTGGGCTGTTGCTAGGGTTATTATGTTGGGCATGGCTTCAGCTGCAGCTGCTACTATTGCTGCTTATGGCATCTATCGACGAAGAAGAATAAGGTGAAGCTAATTTCCTTGGAATCCTGTCCTTACAATAAAGAAAGAGCATGGTAAAAGTAAATAGGTAAGTAGTAAGAGTTAATTGTTGGTGATTGATCTCATAAGAGCAAACCAGACCAGACAGATGAGGTTGGTTGGTTGGTTGGTTCAGCTCCATTACTCTTGTTCAAGTTCTTGACATTTGATGCATGCAATGCATAAGAGGGGTGGTAAAATAATTGCAGCTTTTGCAATGTATGCCATGCCCCTCGAGATTTTTTTGAGCATATAATAAATACATTTCATTTTGGGAATGGATTGCTTTAAACCCTGTACATCTTTCTCTTAATTTGTTAATATACTCACTACTAATTAATACAATCCTAGCTACTATAGTATTTATATTTAGGGGTGTATTCAATTGGAATTTTAATGAATTATTTTTTATTTTAAAAAGTTTATGGATTTACATTATTGAGAAGACTGGATGTGATTTTTTTAATGTAAAATTGATTTTTAATATAATATAATTTGATTTTTTTTTGAGAAAAAATAAAATCAATAATGTATTTAAAATCCAATCTCCAAAGAAACCTGCGGTGTATTGTTTGAAAAAAAGACAATTAACAATATAGGGTTAGTTGAGAATTGTTATTGCAAATTATGGCTAGGAATAAATGAGATATTGGTAGGTGTATTGAGTTATAATAAAATATATACTCTCGGTGAACTTACCATTACCTATTAATAGTTTTTAGATCTTACTTTCTTCTGTTATACATTTCTATTTAAAAGTAATGACAAATAGATTTTTATCTGGAACTATTAATATACTAATTTCATAGTTTATATAAAGAAAAATAAATATAAATATTTAAATTATATTTTTTAAAAATATATCAATTTGCCCTATAAGTCTGCTGCATCCAGTTTTTTTTTTTTTTTTTTTTTTTTATATATATACTGTAAAGAAGTGACAATTTATTTTAATAAAAAAATATAATTTTTCAGTCATTCAATTGATTCAATTAGATGTTCATTTGATAAATTTAAAAATAAATAAATAAAAATAAAATTTTTACTTTTTAAATTAAAAAAAAAAAGTAAAAACAAAATTGTAATATTTTACTAATAAGAACCGTAATAAATTTAGATGAAAAAAAAAATAGAGATATATACAAAATAGTCACTTGGAAATTCAGCAGCAACCTATTTTTTATTTAATTCAATTATAATAATAATAATAATTATATATATAACTCTTTCTGTCCACTTTTAAATCTCATATTTACTTTTACCTATATTTTCTATTTAGTAAATTAATTCATTTTAAATATAAATTAATTTAATTAAATTTCACTTCACTCAAAATCTTTTTATTCTATCTCTTTTAAATAAACAAATATTTTTATTTTATAAAATTAGTTTTCAAGTTAATTATAAATAAACATATATTTTATTTATTTGTATTATATAAAATTTTATTTTCTATCAAATAATATATTATATATTTTATTGAGGTATAATATTAAAAATATTTTAAATATCAATATCACTTTGTATAAAAAAATAAAATAATATCATAATTTATTATTAATAACGACACTCTTTAAAATATAAATACAGTGTCATGTCTGGACAGAGAGTATGTATATTGATATATTTTTTATTTAAATTTTATTTTAGAAATAAATTTGATAGATATAAATATAAATATAATTTAGTTTTTTTATTAAAAGTGAAAGAAAATATTATAGTATAACTTGGAAGTAGAGAAACCTTTGTTGAGTTTTTCTATTGCTATGGTCTAGCTGCAATAAGCATATTTTCAAACCCCACGCCAGTTCCATGTCATAAAAAAAAAAAAAAAAAAAAAATGATAAATTATAAGAGACATCATTGTAGTTTATTAAAAATACATAAAATACTTTGTACTTTATTTATTGAGTGAAATTTTTTATGTTAATAAAAAATTTGTATGAAACACTTTCCTTGTTCAAAGCTAATGTTTGATTCGAAATAAAGACTTAAATTACGTCAATTTTATAAAAAAAAAAAACATAAAATATCTTAAATAATTTTTTTGAATAAAATAAATAAATAAATAATTGATCAAATGAAGGATTAATAAATTATTTATTTATTTATTTAATACAAAAAAAATTATTTAAGATATTTTGAGCTTTTTATTTGTATAAAATTTGCGTAATTTAGGTATTTATTTAGAACTAAATATCAGTTTTGGACAAGAAGAGTATTTCGTGCAAACTTTACATAGGATTTCAAGCAATAAATAAAAACACATGGTATTTTTTATATTTTTATTAAAAACACAAGGGATGTTATATAATTTGCCCTAAAAAATATAGTACTATCTTTTTATTAGAAATAAATAGTTTTCTCTCTTTTTGCTAAAAGTATGCTTATTTTTTATATATATAATTTATAAGAAAATAAACATATATATATATTTTTATTTTTTGTGGACATAATTTTAGTTTGAAGTTAACCAAATAAGTCCTCAATTTTAGTATTAATATTTGTTGCAGTTTGAATTTTAAATAATAAAATTTTAAATTTTAATAATTGTTTAATATGATATTTTAAATGTATAATTGATTAATAATATAATATAATAAGTAAAAATAAATAGTTAATTAGATATTTTCAAGGAAAAAATTTATGTAAGTGCACAATATAATAGAAAATAAAAAAATCTTTAAGAAAAAATAAAATAAAAATTGGTGTGTTAACTTATGTTTTATATTGTTTAAAATTTAAATGAAAATGATTAATAATTATAATAATAGTAATAGCTTGTTTTGCAAATGTTAAGTTTGAATTAAGGTTGAGAGTAGTCATGTCAGCTCTACCAAATGTATATATTTCTCATACAAGTTTATACATTTTCCTTTAAATGGTAAAAATGGGTGTGGGTGTGGGTGTGGGTGTGGGTGTGGGCTAAAACAAATTATAATTAAAAATGTGGATGTTAATAAATATATATATATATAACTAATACTCCCTCTGTTTAACATAATTTGACCATATCTTTTATTTTAGTTCGTCTCACATAATTTATTATTTCTATTTTTGGAAATATAATTATGAACTTTAATCGCATTTTAAAATTTAAAATTTAAAATTTTTTTAATTTTAATTAAATTGTTTAGTTATCTTAATCTTAATCTATAATTATTTTTACTAAATAATAATTATTTTTACTAATACATTTCTTAATTATTTACTAATTATATTTTACCTAAATTCCTGTGTCTAAAGTAATACACCTATATTACATGGGACACGGATGGAGTATATATCCTGGTGGACAAATAGAATATCAGTTGCGACTCATTGAATTGAATATTCATTAGGCTGATTCATAGTACTCTGTTATCTGAATATATTTTTATTTATTGTCATTTAAAATTTATTTTTTCTTTTAGTCACTTTTTTTATATTTTCTTATTCAAATAAATAAAATTTTTTATTTTTATATATTATTTTAAAAATTTATATTCGATCAAATGAACAATGATATTAATGACAAATGAATTATATTTTATATAGAAAAAACAAAAGATGATCAATCGAAGAATCAAAACCTCACTCGCGTCCACCATCCACGTCACACACAAAAAAAAAAGGAAAATCTCACGACGACGCACATGTAAACGTCAGAATTCCCATTAGGCCACGTGTCGATAATCCTGACGTGGCGAGAGTTTTCTGGGAACAAGTAGCTGCTCTCCCTATTCTTACCATATTTTATTATATATTCAGTGGATAGAAATTGCCATATGTTCCTCAGTTTTGGAAGTTTGAATGATCCATGGTTTGATTTGATTTGTTGATGAATTGCTTGTTGTTTTTTTATCTTGGTTGCTGATTGACATTGCTGCATGATTGTATATTATTTATTCGGCTTCCGTGTACAATTTGGGATCACAAGTTAGTGGCTGCAAGACAGCTCTTCATGCTCGCAATCGATTTCTATATTATTATCATCTCTGCATTGATTGTGTTTCGTCGCTTTCATCGTTTCAATCGTTTTCAATCAATCATTCAGCTGGTTCGAGGTTTTGGCTGCTGTTCTATATATATATATATATTTAAACAATTTGTAGGTGTTTCATCCGTGGAATTAAAGGATTTTTTCACTTTCCGGAACTTCGAATAATATCGTCATTTCTGTTCTATTTTGTGTGCTGAGGACATAAGCGATGACGGTTGATATAATACTCGATGGCGGACAATCGCCTCGGGTTGTATTGTCAGAGCCAAGTGGTTCGACAGCTGAGGTTTGTGGCGGATTTCGTAGTTGTGATCGAAGTTGTAACTGAGAATTTTGAATATCGTTTGCAAGTTAATCGGATGTATTCATAGCTGATGAGTTGTAAGACTGACTCTATGCATACGGTTAATTTCAAGCAGACACGATTGAGTTCATTATGATTGATCCACTTGACGATTGCACAGAAATCTAATCCTACCGTTTTCGTTTTCGGTTCATATTGCTTCAGGTGCTCCTGTATGGTGGTCAGGTGATATCTTGGAAGAACCAGAAAAGAGAAGAGTTACTATTCAGAAGTAACAAGGTAAACTTGATATAGATTATTTAGCTCATGAACATCATTTGCAGAATCTGAGTCTCGACTGTTCTTGTTTAATTGTGGAGTGTTCTTTCATTTCCGTGAATGGATAATATATTATTTACTTTTTCCTTTTTTTTTGTTTTGTTCAAATAGATGTGCATTTTCTGTTGTTTATCAGGCTCTGTGGAAGGGAGATAAGACAATCAGAGGTGGAATAACCATGGGCTTTCCACAGGTGAAAAAAAACTTGAAGAACTAATATAGTTACAGATTCTCTCTTTCTGTTAGGATTCTCATCTGTTGCATGACCTTTTAGGTTGCCAATTTTGGTTCGCTCGAGCAACCTGGATTTGCAAGGAATCGATTATGGTCATTGGACAGCTCTCCTTCCCCTCTGCTTCCTGTCAATAATCAGTCAGCTGTGGATCTTGTGCTAAAATCCACAGAAGAGGATCTAAAGACTTGGCCACATAGGTGGGGAAAAATTGCATGATGTTCAAGAGCCATTAGTTAAAGTAATTATTCATATTTTCAACCACGGTTTAGTTTTATTTGGATGGTGTTTGCAGATTTGAGTTGAGGCTACGAATTTTGGTTGGTGCTGGAAAACTAACCTTGATTACTAGGGTGCGAAATACAGATAGCAGGGCCTTCAAATTCACCTTTGCCTTGTGCAATTACCTATCTGTATCTGATATCAGGTTTTCCTCTTAACCATTCAATGATTTATGCATTATTATGACATAGTATTATAAGATTGTTAGATGTTAAAGAAACTATATTTATGCCGTATACATAATTTCCATGTATGTTTGTTTCCAAACAACGTTACTTTTTAATTGCAAGCTTTTCAGTTGCTCTAAAGCTGCTTGACATTTCATTTTCTCATAGTTTATACAATGCTGGTTGATTTGCAGTGAAGTGCGTGTAGAGGGCTTGGAGACACTTGATTACTTTGATAATCTGTTACAAGGAGAGAGATGTACTGAACAAGCAGATGCACTTACTTTTGATGACGAGGTAAAATGCATCATTTACTTTCACTTTCATCTTGCCATTGTTTGCATGCTTGCATATCCATTAGAACTGCACATTCAGCGGCCATTTTGATAGTTGATTTGCATATAACAACTTTAGGTGCTCACACACAAGCATTCTTTTCATGTCTTTGCAGAAGATTCGTCTGAAATCCAGAACTCCTGAATTAAGCATTTTTTTCATGTCTTTTGATAGATTGACCGGGTGTATCTAAGCACTCCACCCAAGATAGCCATCATAGACCATGAGAAGAAGAGAACCTTTGTACTCCGCAAAAAGGGCATGCCGGATGCAGGTTCATATCATCGTTTTCAGGCGGACTTAAAATTTTATTACCAAAACTTTGCTGCTGCCATTATAACACTGGGAAACGGAAATTGTTCTAAATAGCATTCACCTCTTTTGCAGTTGTACGGAACCCATGGAACAAAAAATCAAAGGCTCTACCTGATTTGGGGGATGTGGATTGCAAAACAATGCTATGTGTTGATTCTGCTTCTGTTGAATTACCAATAATTTTGAAGCCCTTTGAAGAGTGGAGGGGCTATCAAGAGCTGTCAACTGTCTCCTCAAGTTATTGCAGCGGACAATTAGATCCTTGGAAAGCTCTTCACGGATTAAACTGATAAAAAATTTTACAGTGCACATAAGGTTGTTATCTACCAACTCCTGTTGTGTATATTCTGTTTGTCTTTTGTATACAGGCAATAATTCTGGATTACATATTAGTAAATATGGTGGTTATGTCTAGGCTCCAGCAACCATGCTACTCGAGTTTCATGTTGTTGAATGATCTTTTATGTCTTTTATTTCTATATGAAAAGAATTACACTCATCTTGTCTTTCAGATTTGTTGTAGATCCGCATATATGTCAAATGCCTAACTGGAAGGACTGAAACCTGACATATGAGATTGAGAACTCTCGGCATCAATCTCTTATTGAACATTATTAGGAACAACTTAAGTAGGCTCCGAATTTTATTTCATGGGGACTTAGTCAGTAGTCATCACTTGTCACCAAGTCCTCAGAAGAGAGAAAGTAGGGACGCCCCGAATTTTTCCTTTGCTTCTTTGTCGAAAGGATCTTCTCCCAAGTACATGTATATGTATGCCCTGCAAAGCAGTTCATTTTCCACTGTGCTCACAATCTCATCCTTAACTGCATTGCAGAAGATCAAATGAGTTGGCTTCGAACCATTTTACTAAATTATCTTAAAAGATTATCTGTGTTTGATAAGCTTGCTAGTAGTTATATTTGTACCTTTTGCTTGGAGTTTATATCCTGGAAGCCTTGATATCTCAATCACCGAACCTGGTGTAAGCTTTATGTCATCTGATGCTTCTCCCATTATCCTGCAAGTGATAGATAATATTGCATGTCAACCTGCAATTGAATTATATGATATGGTTGAAGGCTGTGGTATTGTAGTTACTTCTTTGTGAGCTTTTCATTCTTGGTTCCAGTGAGTTTCTTGATGGAGGCTCCGAGCCCTTCATCAAAGTTCTTCTTTACCATGCTTATGGTTAGGCCATTGAAAACAATGACCATGCGAACCACCATTGCCACATCACTGTCGATGATCATTTGATACATTTCTTTTGTTGCCTTAGCTGGTGCTTTCACAAATTTTGCCTTTAGAAGATCTTTCAGTTTGTCATTATCTGCATATATACCTGCAATGTAGAAATGGTGAGTGACTTTACTTGGTTAATTGATGCATACTTGTTGATGCAGTCTTCTACAGTGTTGGTTAATGGTGACAATTGATGCATGAGTGATTGTATTAATGGTGTTTCTTATACTATTATGTACGTGCATGAATCGGTTAATCTGTTTCCACTTTGCCAATAATGTGATTTTTCAAGGGTGAGTACCGAAGGCATATATCTTGATGCCGAGGCCGAGCATGCTCTTCTTTCTGAGGCCAACAGCAGTCAGCTGCTTTGCGTCATCCAGCACAACTGGAAACGATACTCCAGTCTTGGCTTCAACTTCAACAGGGACATCCTCTTTGGTCTGTTCTTCTTTCTCATTCTCCCCTACTTTTTTGGATGAAATGTCTTTGCTCTCACCTTCCATTTTCTTTTCTAGCTCATTGTCCAGCAACTGTGCTTCTGTCTCGGAGCTGGGATCTTTTCCAGTTGACTTCAATGCTGCAGCACCAACGGCCGGGTTTATCTCCAACATCTCAGCTTTCTCCACGACTTCATTCACAGAGGTAGGCATACTTCACTAATGAAATGATTTTGTTTGTTGTTTGAATGATTGGTAGAATGAGTGCAATCAAGGTTATTTATAGGTGATGAGTTCTCACCCCTAGAAGGGTGGCTCACCTGCAATATTCAAAGCCATGTGTTTATCTCAGGGGCATTATTGTCTGAAATAGGTAGTCATTTAGTTTGCCTGCCAATTGCCTTTGCTTAGGGGACAGTGCTATCTCGGTATGAGCATTGTGATATGGAGTTTGAAATTTTTGAATTTCACTACTTACCACTCCTCTTACTTAAAAACAATACTATGCTTCACTTCTATCATATTTAATGAATGATCTAGTATCTACATTTGGTTATTAAGTCTGTGTATACACTCATTTTGTTAGCTTAATTCAAATATGTCTGAGGAGTAATTTTTTTTGCCTCTCTTTCCTGCTATTAGATGATCAGTTTTCTCACTGTTTTGGCTACACACTGTGGCATCCTGTGTGCTTATTTTATTGCTTCTGTGAAAAGGAAAACACAAACATCTTGGTTTTGTAAATATTTCATCTGATCCTGATTGGATATTAAAGAAGGGATAAGGTGGGAGAATCGAGTAGCCTGTGGGAAACAAGTGATGAGGAAAAATATCACAAGAAACCAAGTACAACTGCATTAAAATGAAGCCTTAGTTACCATTATTATTGTCATAACACAAAACTGAGAAACCTATAGCAAACGTAGACAAATTGTACCAAGGTTTGTCTTACAAAGCTGAGCTCTTGTTTTTGTTACCACTAACCAAAGTGACTTTATTAGACAACCACCTTTGCCGCTGTGACTTAAATTTGGTTGGGACCAACCGGCCTTTTTAAATTAAATAATTTCACTTTCTACTTCATCTAAAATTCACTGTATGTTTTTTCTTGAGGCCTTGAGGTTAAACAGATTGTTTTTGTACTTGTCCAATCCAATCATACAAATATGTCTGTTTTACTTTATATCTAGATGTTTTTGTATCTTTTTCTCCATTAAAAACATGCTCTTTTAGTTTAAGTGTTTTGAGTTACATCAAGTTTACTTTAGGTTAGAGATGAGATATGAGATAAGAAAGCAAAAGGTTTTGGTAAATTCTCTCATAAAAAAAACAAAAAAATAAAAATAAAGGTGTCTATTGATTCTTGATCAGTTATGCTCATCACTAAAACCTTCACTTTATGCTTACAAATATCTACCTTGTTGAGTGCATCAAGTTCTTAAGCAATGATGTGTATCATTATTTCTTATGTGATGATTCTGTGTTTGAATATAATATTTTGGATAAGGACTGGTAAAAAGAATTTAGGCACCAAAAACTATTCTTAAAATGACTACCAATGGTAAAAGGATTTAGGCACCTAAACTATTCCTGTAGTGTTGATGGGAAAGCTTTCAAATTAATCTTAAATTAGTTTAATCTGTTTTTTTCTTCACTTTCATGATTTTGTGTGTGTGTGTGTGTGTTTTTCATTTCTGTACCTCCGTAGAACTGTTAATATTGACAACCACGTCACCTTTCAAGAAAATTAAATATGCTATCAATTGATCCTAGAAAGCATCCTACCTGCAAGGTTTACAAAGTACAGTCTGACTAATCTAAAGAGGAGAAAATTAGTTTCACCGGGACTATTTCAATTAGGGTGGAATAGATTGGGTTTGATGATCCATAATCTACAATTTTCATATTTGATAGAGTAATCGATTTTGACTCGATCTTGATTCATAAAAGTTTAACCCATCCCAACCCAACTAATTGGAATTAAATTCACGTTGATTTTCCTGTTTTTAATTTCATCAATGTTATTTAATTTTCATTTTGGCGTTCTCACCTATGTGAAGCATCTGGATTCATTCAGCCATGACCCCTTGATAGAATTAGTTGGAATTGGTTGGGACTTTGTGAACAGTGGAAATCCGTAGTCAAATCTAAACAAATCACCGACTGGAAGGTCCGTCACAGGATTCATTCATCCCCAACTCCGAACCATACATACAGCTGAGCTGACGAGGGATTTTAACTAGAGGACAAACAGGTCAAAAAAGAGGAGCAGCAAAGAGGAAAAACAGGGAAGAAAAGGTCATTCATCTCAATCACCGACGTCTCAGTTTCCTTTTGTCGACGCATAATAATTTTTTGACTCTTTGTGTGAGGAAACTTCCTGCCCTGTTTCTTGCATTTTCACCTACCAAAGTCAACTTGTGTTTATGTCCCTTTTTCTTATCTTTATGTGGGGGATTTAATTAATTGATTATTATAATTCGTGTTTATTGTTTTGATTGTTGATCGGGCAAGTGGCTAGGTTTGGAGGAAGGTTAAAAAAGGGAGTAATACTTGCAGCAAAGGATTGAGGAGATGAGGTGATAAAAATGGCAGAAAAAGACAATCTTGGCAGAATCATGAGGGAAAGAAATATAAATCTAGAAGCAGAAACTGGTGGGATCATTGGAACTGGTTGAGTGGTCTTGTCCCCTCCGTGAGTGTCCTTTCCCATGTGCATAATTTAATACTGCTAATTTTTGCTTTTTCAACACCTAAGCTTAAAGAATTATATATGTATTTGTATATACACTCTTGATTAGTTTTTTAAAAAACCATTTCTTTCTCCATAGGGCATCTACTGCGTTTCCATATCTGCTCTTGAGTCTTGAATGCCCCCCACCCTCTGCATACATATTCATTATCCCTTTGTAAAATAATTCAAAAAGACAAGATAGAAAGGCCCCACTGTTTCCTGACAGAGACACAATTCCTTCCTTCCGCGGCTTTATCTCTGTTGGGAGAGATCGTAAGCACTAAGAGGAGAAACAACCCACTGTTGCACGCGGTTACAAGGTTTAAATGAACCCTTCTATACTTAATTTCAACATCCTTTTTGCTTGGAATTTTGGTTCAATTCAAGGGTTTTATTTTTTCTTTTCTCGGTTGTTTTGTTTCTTCCTGTGATTTTGCTTCTCTCCCAATTTGATTGCTCCTTTGGGGAAGGGTTTTTTATGGTGGGGATTTCTTGCAGCTTCATTCTTTGACTACTGTAACATAAAACATATGCAGTATTTGTTTAGGTTTGGGTTAGTGGTGAATTGAAGTGGAGAGTGATGCAATTTTTGATTTATTAGTTTGGCTGAGGAGAATTTCTTCTGGAGACATTGTTGATGTTGGATTTGCTCCAAATGTCTGGACAATTGATCCAGTCTTGATCTTGGTGCAATTTCAATAGATGCCAGAGAGTTTGGAGGGGGAAAGAGAGTGAGTAAGCAAGAAAAATGGGATCTGGGAATGGTTTTTACTCAGGAGCAGAGTTCAGTTTGGACCCCAGATGGTTGGTTGATCCGAAGCTTCTGTTTGTTGGCCCAAAAATTGGCGAAGGAGCTCATGCCAAAGTGTACGAGGGAAAGTAAGTTGACTTTTTAGTCTCCTGCCTGTATCTTCTTCATCATGGAAGTGAAATTTGCTTTGTGGTTTCTGCCCTATAGCTACTGAAGAGTAGAAGGAGAAATCATTAGAGAATCTTTTAAAGGGTTTGGCTTAAGTGTTTTTTCTCTGGTTTTGGAACTATCAGTGTTGGAATCATAATGCACTGTGAATATAATCATTACCAGTACATGTTTAGTCAATGTTTTGTTGATGACAATAGTTTGTGCAATCTTTTTCTGTTTCTATTGCCCAACATAGTTGCAGTATATGATGAAATTTCATTAGAAATAAATAATGAAAGTGGTCTAAGTGGAAGGACTGTAGAGGATTGGTATTGTAGAAGAGTCTGGGAAGATTGAAAACTGCAGTTTAATTATCTGACCTTGAAATTACTTATCTGCGTTTCAGATACAAACACCAGAATGTTGCTATCAAAATTGTTAACAAGGGAGAGACGCCGGAGGAGATCGCCCGCCGGGAGGCCAGATTTGGAAGAGAAGTTGCTATGCTCTCCCGTGTTCAGCACAAAAATTTAGTTAAGGTTGTGCATTTAATTAATTGCTTTATAAATGATCTCCTACTGCACCGTCGATGTTGATTTCATTGAAAAAGAAGTTTCTGTCAGTGCCTTAGCTACACTTGTTTCTCTGCAGTTCATTGGAGCTTGCAAGGAGCCTGTTATGGTTATAGTAACCGAGCTTTTGCCTGGTGGGACATTGCGGAAGTACTTGGTTAGTTTGAGGCCGAGGTGCCTCGATATGAAGGTTGCTATAGGATTTGCGCTTGATATTGCTCGTGCAATGGAATGCTTACACTCGCATGGAATCATTCACCGTGACCTGAAACCTGGTAGTTGTTTGTTTGTTTTCTTTTCTGAATGCATCTTTTCAAGTTTGTCTTTCACAGTCTTCGATTTTGAATTGGAATATGCATCAAGATGCGACTAAATGCTGCATTTTTCCGGTTAAAAGTTTTGAATAATCAGGCTATGATTTTTCTTTTGCCTCCAGAGAATTTGCTCTTGACAGAAGACCATAAGACCGTCAAACTCGCAGATTTCGGTTTGGCAAGAGAAGAGTCATTGACAGAGATGATGACTGCCGAGACTGGAACTTATCGTTGGATGGCTCCCGAGGTACCTCCCACTGTGTTTCTACCTTTTGCCGTGTTCGAATATTTGTGCAATGATTGACCTGAATCTTTTCTTTTCATCCTGCAGCTGTACAGCACGGTCACACTAAGACAAGGAGAAAAGAAGCATTATAACCATAAAGTTGATGCGTATAGTTTCGCCATCGTGCTGTGGGAGCTCATACATAATAAGCTGCCGTTTGAAGGCATGTCGAATCTGCAGGCTGCCTATGCTGCTGCTTTCAAGGTAATTCCTTTCGTACCTCGAATTGTTTGGCTTAGTTCCATTTCAATATAGGCAAAATTTTCGAAAATTATTGGAACAACCATCCATTATTGCCTGTTTGCCGATATTGATCTGTTCTATGACCCCAGACAACTCTGGTTTACGCTCACTACTTTTGTAACTTTTTGCACAGTAACTTTTTAAAAGAACTCCTCCAAATATTAACTCTACCCTATTTTCAAAATTCCAAAACTCTTTGTCTAAAAGGAGCTTACCCGTTTTGGTGTAATTCAATGTGAAACTTTGTTCCCTTTTAATTTTGCTAACAAATGCACGTAAACTTGACATGCTGCTGCACAATGTATCGAATGTTTTGGTTGAAGATCAAGCTACTAATCATCTGAAATTCATGTTTCCCTTTTCAGAACATGAGACCAAGCGCCGACAACCTTCCAGAGGATCTTGCCTTGATTGTGACACTATGCTGGAAAGAAGACCCTGACTCCCGGCCTAACTTCAGCCAGATAATCCAGATGCTTCTTCACTACCTCTCCACGATATCGCCACCCGAGCCAGTCATACCGCACAGGATCTTCACTTCTGATCGCAACATTGTGTTCCCGCCCGAGTCTCCTGGCACGAGCTCTCTGATGGCCAAGAGGGGCGACACCGGTGACACCCCGAAAGCCCCGAGCGACGGCGATGGCCCGAGGGGGTTTTTCTCATGCTGTAGCTAGCTAGTGCTCTGCTAATCTGTGGTATATTTCTGTCCGAGGGAGTTGAAGAATTCAGCTACCTTAAGGAAAGAGGTTAATAAAAAAGATCAAACAAACAAACAAAAAAAAAGTTTACTCAGAGAAAGAACATCAACAAGTGTTTGTTGGTTTGATTCTAAAATGTAATGTAAGGGCTTTTGGGAGTGTAGATTAATTATGGAAATGGGATTAAGTGTCAGTGTCGTGTATTTATTATTACAATTTACATTAACACTTGTATAAATAAGGTGACCTTTTACACTCCTTCTCCATCTCTTCTTTGAAATTCTTATCACCATTATTCTTTACTTTCAACAAAAACACCAACCAAGAAATCTGGATTCGTTCTTCTTAACTATATTTTAAAATTTTGATCATATAAGTTTTTATTTCTTGTCTTCTGTTAAATATATTTATTTATATATAAAAAAAATGGATGCATATCTTTTTTAGAATTTTTTTTTTAAATTTTACTATTTCAAATTTATATTTTTTTAAAAAAGAGTAGTATTTTTATTTTCTTTTAAAAAATATTTCCTCCGTCCCAAATAAGGTGTAATCTTTATTTTTGGCACGGATTTTTAAGTGAATATTATTAAGTAGTATAATTTAGAAACTAGGTGATGTGGATTAGGTGATGTGATGAAGAGAAAAATATATATTTTATTTTTTTATTTGAATGATTATTTTAGAAATATTGGACGGTGTTTGGAACATACTAAAAAAAAATATTGCAAAGTATTTGAGACGTAGAAAATAAGTATTATTTAAATATAAATTTAAATCAAAATTTGTCAGATTCAAACAAAAAAAAAAAGAAAACACCCTAAAAAGACTTAAGCGGGCTAATTGATAATTAATTTGAAGTAAAGGGGGAAAATTGTTAATAAGCTAAATTGGTAAAACCCCTAGAGAAACCTCGTCTTCAAAATCCTCCACCGAGGTCGCGGCCGGTGTTGATTGTCCGGGGATTTTCGGCGACGATGTTTTCTGGTTTGGCGAGGAATCTCCGAAGACATTCTGTTAGAACCCTCTCTTCTCTGCTCCTCAATCAAAGGTAGTCTTTATTCTAGGAATGATTGTTCAGTTTTCGGGAAATTACTGCGTACATACGTAATGGGGATTTTGATTTATTTATAAACAGCAATGAGGTTCTTACGGGCGGTGGTCCGTCGAAGTTGACGCCTGGAACGAGGAGCTCGGGTTTCCCGATTTCCGAATTGCCTCCTGCGAAAGGTTGGAATTTTCTGAGTGGAGCTCGTGGTTTGTCGGCGAAGAGCATGAGGAGTAAAGTGGAGAAGCGGATGCAAAGGGAGTCCGGCAAAACCCTAAGGGAAATTCGGAGGGCAAAGAAGTTGAGGAAGAAATTGATGACCGATGAAGAGCGCCTCATCTACAATCTCAGAAGAGTACGTTACTGTACATGATTCGCTGTTAAGATTTTCATCAACTGCTTTGGGGAAAGATGAATACCTTTATGTTTAGATTCAACCATTTCTTCATTACAGATCAATGAATAGTTTCATAGTTATTGAATAGAATTGTTTGTTTGTTCTGAGTGATGTTTAAGGATCTTCTGTTGCTTAAAGTATTGTTTCTGCAAATGTTCTTCCATCTTAACACATCAAATTTTCTTGTAGGTTTAATTTTACCCTGCATTTGGTATTCTATGTGCTGAATGTATCAGTTCTGTATTACCTCAGCCTCTTTATTTTGCGCGGAAAATTAATAATTTGTGATCTTGTTTGATTGACTGACTAGTGCAGGCAAAGAAAAAGATTGCTTTGCTTCTTCAGAAGCTGAAGAAGTACGAGTTGCCGGAACTTCCACCACCGCGCCATGACCCTGAGTTATTAACACCGGAGCAGTTGCAGGCATACAGGAAGATCGGTTTCAGAAACAAAAATTATGTTCCTGTTGGCGTTCGTGGAGTCTTTGGAGGAGTTGTCCAAAATATGCACCTCCATTGGAAGTTCCATGAGACGGTGCAAGTTTGTTGCGATAATTTTCCAAAGGAAAAGATCAAGGAGATGGCAATCATGCTTGCAAGATTGAGTGGCGGGATTGTCGTAAACATACACAATGTGAAGACCATCATTATCTTCCGTGGCAGAAATTATCGGCAGCCCAAGAATTTGATACCCATCAATACACTTACAAAGAGAAAGGTCGAATTTTGTCTAATCTTTTTATTCTCCAATTAGTTATAACCCAATATTTTTCTCAGAAAGACTGTATATAATCGAAGGTGTCGTGACATGCAGGCTTTATTTAAGGCTCGATTTGAGCAAGCTCTTGAGTCCCAGAAACTTAACATAAAGAAAATAGAGCAAGAGCTTCGGAGGAAGGGTGTAAATCCTGATGATCCGATTGCCATGGCTAGCATCCAGCGAGTCGCGTCCACATTTTTCAATGCTATTGACAAGAGAGAAGGAAGTCCCTATGTTTTCCGAGAGAATAAAACCGAACAACCAGAATCTGAAAGCAGCCTTCAGCAGCCGCAAGAAGGTGGAGATGACAGCGACCAAGAGGAGCTTGATCGGTTTATTGCTGAGATTGAAGATGCTGCAGATAAAGAATGGGCTGCCGAAGAAGCTGCTGAGAAAGAGGAACTTAGTCAGATTAGATACTGGAATCGACAAGATTTTGGTGGTCGATTTCGAAGATCTGAAGGAACCGGTAGTGAGGATTCTGATGAAGAAAACAGGGAAAGGCCAACAAACTGGAACCGCACAGATAGGAGGAATTTCGACAACAGTGAGAGTGAAGATGAAGATGATAATGAATGGGATGGTCGTGGGATGAGTGACAGTGACAACTCAGAAATGGCAGCAAAGGTCGGAAAGCGGCAACATCATCATATTGGCAGCAGCCGCAGAATGGATTTTAGGAGAAATGGCTTTGAATATGAAGGCAGGAAGAAGAATCGGAACACTGCTTCAGACGGCATGTTGAGCGACCTTGAAGACATAGCTTCAGCTTCAGACAACGAGACACCAACTCAGAAATCATTTAGCAGGAACAAGAGCGGCCGTAATTTCAGGAGAGATTTCAATAGAGGCACCAAACACGATGATTTGTTCAGTGAAGCAGAGCCTGAGATATGGGAGTCGGACGCCACATCTGGAGACGAGGACATGCCAAGATAATGAGATACTACTGTAACTGATCAGAATCGAATAGGCGTTTGATGTAATTTTGTCGAAAGGCCCCGGATTGAATGAGTGATTATAGAATAGAAGAACTGTTCTTCCTCCATCAATGTCCTGCTGCTGCTGCTGCATATCAACATTCAACAGTGAGACAGATAGAGATTATTATTCATGCGGTTAGCTCTTGCATCAATGGTGATTTTTCTTGTCCAAAGTTTATTATGGAGAGAACCCATTCGATTGCAGCATTGGCAGGTATGCATGCATACCTCTTGTTTTAAAATTTTAAATTATTTAAAGTATTGATTTATTATTATTATTATTATTATTATTATTATTATTATTATCGTTAATGTTTTATTCTCTTTTGGAGACCATTAGAACCTTACAATGTTCTTTTGTAGAGCTGGCAATAGGTCGATTTGTGTCGGGTTCGGGTTGACTCATGTTGATCCATATACATAATTAAGTCGAATTTCTTGATTCAAATTAAATAATTTTTTGTTATTTTGTCGGTGTTATGTTAGGTGTTATGTTAGTTTTTAGTGGTTTGAGTCTAAATTAGGTTGAATTATTTAAAATTGAATTTAGTTTAAATTAATTTATAAGAAAATTATTAAATTATGATCATTTTACTTATATAATAATTATATTAATCAATATTAATATATTATAATCGGATTGTCGTATCAGGTTCGAGTGGAGAGTCTCAACCCTAATCTGACCTGTTTACTATCGTGTCGGATTCGTGTCAACCGGTATACATAATTGGGTTAAAATCTTTGACCCAAACCCAATTATTTCGTGTCGAGTCGTGTCAGGTAAGTTGTTGCCCGTTCGATTCGTTTGATTCAGTCCATTTCATCTATTCAAGGTTGGGATCTGAATTTGAATTTATTTCTCTACGCTACAAATACCAAAATTCACCCCAATCTAAAATGAAATTTGTTAAATATCATCATCCTAGTTATTCAATTGGTTGTTTAACCACAACATTGTAAATGTATGTAATTGAATTATAATATAAATATAAATTTAAATTATATAAATTTATATTATCTTTAGATTTTTTAAGTTACACATATTCTCTCTTAAATAAAAACTATTCATTTTTGTTGTAAAAAGGGTTTTACAATTTTGTCTATGCAAAAAATTAATAAATATTTTAGTGAATTATGCCTATGTTTGGATTGTGGATGTAGGTTTGTTGTTAGACCAATTCTATTATCTTGTTGTTTATTTTTTTTCTCTTGTGTGTTTCCAACAATTCTGTCTCATTTTAATTTACATTTTTCTATTTTTTTCAATCTTATCAAAATATATTTAAAAAATATAAATTTAATTAACTAAATTATATGTAATTCACTCAAAATCTTTTTTATTACTATCTTTTTCCTAAACAAAACAAATATTTTTACAATCAACTTCTTTTATAAAATTAGTTTATTTTAATTATAAATAAATATATTTTTTATTTACTTGTATAGTAAAAAAAATTATTAATAATATTTATATTATATTTTTTTTATTACTATATAATTTTTAAAATGTGTAAATACATATGATTACTTTGTTCTTTTTATTAATTTTTTTAAACGTTTTTTTAAAAAAATTTAATACACTACACATTCATTATGTTTATATTCTCTATACATTTATATATTTTACATATTTTTTTTATAATATTTTTTTTATAATTCACTATTATTAACTAATTAAATAAGTATCATTATTTAAATATTGTATCACTAGTAAAAATAATCAATTGTTCTAAGATAATTGGTTTGTTTTGTAAAATAATTTAAAAAGATATATTTTTTTATATAAAATATAAAAATTAGATACATAATATAAAAATAATAAATATTTAATATATTAGTAACTTTTTAGAAAAAGAAAATGTATATTTTATTAAATGTATGTAACTTTTTTTCAAGACAAAAACTATAAGCCAATATCAAAGGGTGTGTTTAAAATATATCAAATTTTATTACTCCATCCGTTCAGGCGTAAGGTTGCAAAAATACCATGCAATATAAAAATAATTATATTTGTGTAATATAAGTATAAATTGGAAATGTAGTTATTATGTTAACAGGGAGTACAATTATTAAATTATGGGACGGACAATATGACAACTTTTCCATGACACGAATAGAGTATTTATATTTTACGTTTTTAAAAATTCTTTTACAAATACAAATCTAAATTAAATTTTCTCAAACTAAATTCAAATAAACGGACCCAAAATGTTTTCTATTTTAAGTAATTGAAGAGATTAGAATAGAAAGCACTGTTGTTGGAGCCAAGGATCCGGTCCCGGTCCAGGGATCCCGGATCTGGGTGCATCAATTGAAACGGCAGGTTTATAGTGGCTCAGTCTGCAAGCAAGAGCCCACTGCCCGCATCCTTGTATATCGAGACATCCGTCGCTCCCGGTTCTCGAACCCCAGTGGAATCGTGGCTAAAATTAAAATAAACAAGAACCCAAATCAGTCCCATGTCAGGTCAGGTCAGCCTCTCTCTCATTCCGATCTCTATCGATTTTATAGGCTGGATAAAAGGCGGTTAATTTCTTCCCATTTTTCTTGTACTATCCATTCCCATAAAAGTAGTCTGCGCGGACTGAATCCATCAATGGCGGGAGGTGTGATAGAGCACCGAGCTTATGCTCGGGTTGGACTGTTGGGTAATCCCAGCGATGTTTATTTTGGTCGTACCATATCATTCAGCCTTGGCAATTTCTGGGCGTCTGTTAAATTGCTGCCTTCCAAAGATTTGGTGATCGTTCCTCATCCGACGCACGATCTAGTTCAATTCAATTCCCTCTCTCATTTGGTCTCTCTCTCTCTCTCTCTCTCTCTCAGTTGTTTGATCAATTTTGTACTGCTTGGCTGGGGTTTTTTAATTTGTGATTAGGAATTCATTTGATTTTTTTTCGGAGTAGTTGTTATTTTCTATTACAGTAGTTTCTATCTTGTTAGATCTTATTGACGGTCAATGGAGATCGAAATGCGAAGAAAAATGATTCGCAGGTGGTGATAATTTGCACCTGTATTTCATCTACATTTGGTTTTGATTGATAGGTTTGTAGATAATCTTGGTTTAATTTGCTACTGGTAATGGTTACGAAAACATTATTCCTAAAAATTGTGTAGTAGTTGATTTGTATGTTTATTGATCTCCTCCCTTTGTTGTGGTTTTTGATGATAATGTTCTTCAAGCTAATTGATTTTGATTAAATGGTGCTCGATGTTTATTTAAACGTTCGGCAGAGATGGAGCATTGGGCTAAAGTAATGTTGATTTTTGCACATCATGATCTCTGTATGTTAAAGATTTTGCTCCCTTTTTTCATCTTGCCTACGACTGTTTTGTAGGTTGATCGGCTGCAAAGTGATAGTTATTATGGAGGAGTGCGTCTGCTTCTGGCAATTTGCAAAATATTCTATGCACATTGCAAGGACAACGGCATTCGTCTCCATGAAAGGAATTTTACTCTATCTTATGATACTCACATACCTCGCCAGGTTGAGCCTTTCGATCTTCATTGTTTATCCTCATTGTTTGAGCTTACTTTCATTCAAGTATTGGTGTGGAGTGATTTCAATATTTTCTTTAATCTAATCTTTCCAAAATACTTATTTACCTTTGGCTGGTCATTATGCTTTGGGGCAAGCAGAGGATATAATGAGAGTTGGGAAAATGAAACTTATCTACAATCTATGTCGATAGACATACTCTTTTTAAATCTTTTGTTTAATCAAATGATAAGACAAAGTTTTGTATTTTCTTGCTTTGGTTGAAATCTGACATATTTGATGCAAATAGAAGTCTCCTAGGAGGCAATACTATAATGGCTCTCCATCTCCTTTTTACCCGATTCTCATATACTTAGGTTCTGTTAAAATAACCAATCAGCAAAGATCATAGCCCACGGAGAACCATGATAATGTATTAGTTCTATCAGTTGCATTGTCAGCGGCTTTGTTGTTTTTATTAGGATTCCTAGATGTTATTTTCTTTGCTAAATAGTTCGGAATTTCAACTTACATTCCTTGGTTCTTGTTCATGAAAGCAATCTAGTTTTTTTCTTTCACCATCTTTGAATCTCGTTTCTGCTTTTAGCTTATGATTAACTAGAAATGAAAGTATAAACTGTTTTTACGAATCATCTTCCATACATTAATTTGCATTTTGCTTGGGTATGTGAACTTCTACGTAATTCGTAGATGATGCAAATGAATGTAGGGTGAATTAACCTTTATACATTTTTATTGTGTTAGACGGGGCTTTCTGGTTCCAGCGCAATCGTCTGCGCTGCTCTTAGTTGCCTTCTTGATTTCTATGAAGTCAGGCACTTAATCAAAGTTGAGGTCCGGCCAAACCTAATCCTTAATGCTGAGAAGGAACTCGGCATTGTTGCTGGTCTCCAAGACAGAGTCGCTCAGGTTTATGGAGGCCTTGTCTATATGGTATGCCCTGGCTTCATTTTTCACAAATAAGATTTCTTTTTCCCATTCTCTCAACCATTTCGTCCCTTAGGATTTCGACAAGAAACACATGGAGGAATTCGGGTATGGCAAATACGAAGCAATGGATATAGATCTTCTTCCCCAACTCTACCTCATCTATGCTGAGAATCCCAGTGATTCCGGAAAGGTAATTAAGCGCCGTGTTATATATATCTTCTCATTTAGTTTTTGCACGTAGTATTCTTACCGTGCCATTGTATTACAGGTGCATAGCACTGTAAGAGAAAGATGGTTAAACGGCGATAAGTTGATAATATCATCAATGGAAGAGGTTGCGAAGCTTCCATTAGAAGGACGAACAGCATTGCTCGCGAAGGACTACACGAAATTTGCAGATCTAATGAACCGTAACTTTGATTTACGAAGGTAGGTGTACCGTGCAGGATAACTTTGTGAAAAGACTTTTTAACATATCCTAATAACGTTGTCGAAATGAAGCTATCTTCTTGTTCTGCAAACTCTACTGCAGGCAAATGTTCGGCGACGAGGTTTTAGGCGCCATGAACATAGAGATGGTGGAGGTTGCTCGGCGTGTGGGGGCTGCATCTAAATTCACGGGCAGCGGTGGGGCCGTGGTGGTGTACTGCCCGGATGGAGCAGCGCAGGCAAAGCTTGTGGAGGATGGTTGCAAAGCGGCTGGGTTTGCCTTCCAGGCTGTTAAGGTTATTCCATCTGTCTTGAATGAAGAAGATGATCTTTAGACAATGTTCTCCTCTGTCTGGCATTAGTCGTTGCTCAATATTTTCTCATCTGATCATCTGAATCATTAAGTGTATCAGCATGAAAGTCTGTTTTTTCCGTTTCTATTAGGACTTTTGTTGTCCCAAAATAATAATTTTATTTTTATAAATAATCATATCACTGTAAAATTACTTTTATTTTTTCATTATTATTACACAATTGTCACTGCTTAAAAGGTAAAAAATGTCTTTTACTCGTACTTTTACCCACTGTCAATATAATATCAATATTTCTTAAACTTCGTATCAAACACAATCCAAACTATATTTTTGGGATGAAGGGAGTATTAAATATTACTTATATTGAAATTTCCATATATTTGAATTCAATTAAAACCGAAAAGAAACATAAGTCTTGTTTGGTTTTTTCTGGACAATTTTTATCAAGAGGTCTTGGTTTGCATTTTGATTTGATTTTATGAGAGAAAATGGTGGTGTTGAACAAATGATATTGTCTGCTTTCGGGTTGAGTCCGCACGTATTTGTTTTTGGTCTTCGTTCAGTGGAGTTCATTTGGGACTTATAAAATGTGGAATTTTATTCGCAACTTTCAACGTGGGACTTTAGTTTATATCGCAACAATCTTATATACTCACTCCGTCCCATAAGTAAATATCCATTTGTTTTTTGCACGTAATTTTAAAAATATTAGTATTATATTGGGATATACTAGGAATAAAGTGTTAATGACTAAAATAAGATATAAAGGTAATTGTTACGTACGAAATTTAGAATTAGGTTAAAAGCCCAAGGTAAAAAGAAGAATGGGCCTGGCAATAGAGTTGATTGAACTGACTGAAGGGTACCATGAGGAAATCAAGGAAAATAGGTTTATTACTAAGGAAAGTCCTCAGGTCGGAAGGTCTTCAGGTCGGTAGGTCCTCAAGACGGAAAGTCATTAGGACGGAAGGACCTCAGGTCGGTAGGTCCTCAAGACGGAAGGACCTCAGGTCGGAAGGTCTTCAGGTCGGTAGGTCCTCAAGACGGAAAGTCATTAGGACGGAAGGACCTCAGGTCGGTAGGTCCTCAAGACGGAAGGACCTCAGGTCGGAAGGTCTTCAGGTCGGTAGGTCTTCAAGACGGAAAGTCATAAGGACGGAAGGACCTCAGGTCGGTAGGTCCTCAAGACTGAAAGACCTCAAGTCGGAAGGTTTTCAGGTCGGGAGGTCCTCAGGACGGAAAGACCTCAAGTCGGAAGGTTTTCAGGTCGGGAAGTCCTCAAAGCGGAAAGACCTCAAGTCGGAAGGTTTTCAGGTCGGGAGGTCCTCAAGACGGAAAGACCTCAAGTCGGAAGGTTTTCAGGTCGGGAAGTCCTCAAGGCGGAAAGACCTCAAGTCGGAAGGTTTTCAGGTCGGGAAGTCTTCAAGGCGGAAAGACCTCAAGTCGGAAGGTTTTCAGGTCGGGAAGTCCTCAAGGCGGAAAGACCTCAAGCCAGATGGTTCGCAAGTCGGGAGGATTGGCGGTCGGACCCATACTATTGTAGATTGGCAGTCGGGCCAAAAGAGCGGAAGGTCTGTGGTCGGCTCAAAGAGTGAAATATAGGGATAATTTTGGTCTGCTGGGGACGCGTGTCAGCATGAGAAGGGTTGGAAGACGGTTGGGAAGGAGACGTTGTAACCGTTCGGGTGACGGTTTTCGGTACGGTTTCCCAGAGAATATTTAAAGGCTTGGATAATCATTTGACAAGATATCTTCAATCAACTTCAACAAAGCAAAGTCAGATTTGGGGATCACCACTTTAAATTTCAGTCTTTTATTTTCCAGTTTATTTTCTGTACGTTACAGTGTTTAGAGATTCCTAATCTCAGGCACTAATTAATCAAGTTTAAGGATATTTTCTATATCTTTGAATTTTACTTTATTTTTGTTGAAAAATTACATCAACAAATTGGCGACCACAGTGGGAGCAAGACAAAATTGCTCATTCCAATTCCGGCGATAATTACATACGTTTAAGATCCGGCCGTATCATCGGAAGGGTCCATATGGCAGGTTCACAACCTCAATCATCGTCGGCACCGGTGGGAGAATCCGTTCCACCACCTAATGTGCCAAATGCCGGGGAAATCCCACAACCACCAACAGATTGGTGGTCTTATGTTCAACAAATGTTGCGTGAGCAACAAACGAACATGTTGCGTGAGCAACAGAGCATGATGCAGAATATGATAGATCAAGCATTGTCAAGGGTTAGTCTTCAACCCACTCAAACTCCACCAGGAGTATCACCGTCCAGACTACAGACAAATTTCGCAGGGCCATCATTCGTGGATAGTACATTTCCAAGTGCCACAAATCCCAACCGAATGGATAGGGGAAAGTCTCCTCTGACTTTTCCCAACACTGTTCCACTAGGACCAAGGGTTACCAATCCGCAGACGAACAATACAAGGGAGGACAGGCCTGAAGGATATATACATGATCCTGTTCATATTCCTGTGCAGGATCCGTTCCATGTTCCTGATCATCAACGCTTTCATGTAGATCCTGATGAGCTTGCACATATATTAAGGGATCAGTATGGATTAACTCCTCAGATGGCTAACCGCCCTGCATATCAGAAACCTTTCCCAGAAAGGGTCATTAATGAACACCCTCTCCCAAGGAATTATCGACCACCCGATTTTCATGCATTCTCAGGGGAGGACGGATCTTCCACCATAGAACATGTTGGTCGGTTCACAGCACAATTGGGAGAAGTTGGTAATAACCCTTTTTATAAGTTGCAACTGTTTGGTTTATCTCTTACTAGAACCGCGTTTTCGTGGTTTGCAAGTCTGCCCCCTGGACAAATTCAGACATGGGAAGGACTGGAGACGGCATTTCATGCTAGATTCTTCAATCCTTTACCGACTGTTTCTTTAACAGATTTACTGGAATTGAGGCAGTATCCAGAAGAATCTGCTTCACAATTTATAGAAAGGGTGCGATTGATGAAGGGACGATGTCCTACGGTGATCAGTGAGAAAGAGATGACCAATTTAGTGGTCCGGAATATGCATACTCGCTTAAGAAAGGCGCTCACTGCCCTGGATGTTGAGGATTTGGCAAGTCTTGCATCCAAGGCAGGACGTTTAGAATCTTTGTTTAGAGAGGAAGATCAGCATAACAGGCGTAATAGAGGCCAACATATGGCGAGTATGGGAACAGAAACATGTGACTTTGATTTTAATCAATCAGAAGAGATGGCAGCCGAAATCCTTTCTGGGAAACCTTATGTATGCCCTAAGTTGAAGCCAGTACTAGGATCTGAAGGAAAAGAGCAACCGACCTTTGATAGTTCGAAAGCTGATGAAATCTTTGATATCCTACTGACTGATGGGCAGATCCGTATTCCAAAGGGGCAAAGATTGGCCACTAAAGAAGAAATCAAAGGGAGACCATATTGTAAGTGGCATAATTCTTTCACACACAATACAAGTCAGTGTACTCATTTCAGGAAGGAAATTCAAAAAGCCATTAAGACAGGTCGGCTCAAATACATCACTCTAGGTGTAGACCAGCAACCGTTTCCGAAAGTAACAACTGCAATGGTTGACATCCAACCAAGTTCGGAAACAGGGAAAAGTTCGGCCAATGATGGACATACAGGGGAACGAACTCAGGCAAACCCTGGAACTAAAAAGGGAAGTCAGCCGAACAGTGGCCGACCGGAAGAACGACTCAAAGTTGTTGAAAGACCAGTCGCTGAAAAATGGGACCGACCAGACGGTTCGTTTAATGTGGAGGTGAAAGAAAGGGTTGTAGTACGTGACCACCCGACCAGAAAAACAGGATCAGTCGGGAACAATTGGGCTCAAAATAAAAAGCCTTTGCCAGTTGATATAGATCCTCGTTTCCCAGGTATGAATCGTACACAGATTCGCAATGCCAAACGCAGGTATGCTGCAAAGTATGGGAAACGAGTTCCTTCAGCAAAACAACTAACCGACGAACAAAAAGCAGCCGACCACTTGGCAGGAGATCGGTCCGTTAGAGTCTCCACAGAACAACCGACCAACGAGCAGGGAGCAGCCATTCAATCTCTAAAAAGTCGGTCCAGTCGGGTCTGTTCAGGAAAGCAACCGAACGACCGATTAGGTGCTTCCGACTATACCAAAGGAAGTTCGTCGGGACAAGGGAAAGGTAAAGGAATGGCAGATGAAATAATTAAAGGTTTTAGATGCCAACATTGTGAACGGATCAACATCAATCCATCTCTTGAAGAATTCCGTATTGAATCTTTGACGGTTCAATCTCGGGATATGACAAAGGAAGAAGTAGTAACTACAGAGGAAAGTTCAAGATCTGTTAAATCTCGTCTGGGACCACGAATCCCTTGTCGAATGACAGAGATTAATCAGATGAGTGATGAACCGATGTGGGCAAGTCTGGTAGATGATACTCTGGATGAACCTTTATGGGCATTCTTGGCAGATGACGAATTAGAGGAAACAGAGTGGGCAAAGACTATAGATTCCGAGCCTCAAACGGAGGCACCTTCGATCGTGTTTCCTCCCATTCCAGAGGGTGCGATCTCCCATTTGAAACCACTGTATGTTAATGCTCACATTTGTGGGAAACCAATCACAAAGGTTTTCGTGGATAATGGAGCAGTCTTTAATGTTATGCCATTGAAGACTCTCAAGAAGCTAGGGAAAGGAATTCATGATCTGTCTCCTGTGGAATTCGAAATGACAAGTTTTACAGGGCAGCCGACTAAGCCTGAAGGGATGATGGTTGCCACCATTGAAGTCAGACCAAAGAAGATTTCCACTGTTTTCTTTATTGTGGACGCAGATACTACATACTCTCTCTTGCTGGGTAGAGACTGGATTCATGCCTCTCAATGTGTGCCTTCAACCCTGCACCAACAATTAATGTTCTGGGAGGGAAATCAGGTCTTCAAAATGGAAGCGAATGACAACCCATTCGATGTATCAGAACAAGTTGAAGAGTCAGTGTTTTATTCCAGTCATTTGGCTTCGATGTCTCAGTTGTATATGGCCAGGGAATACCCACTCAAGGGTTATAAAGTCACTGGCCAGAACTCGATGTTCTATTAAAAGAACACCTTTATTGTATGGCTCATGATAAAGCCACACCCATTCCCATATAATTTGTTTGTCATGGATGATACAAGCTTAGAAGTATGTAGTTCTCTTATTAATAAATTCTATTTAAAGCAGTT